ACACAAAGGTCTAGGAATACAGAGTCTAGGATAAGCATTCTGGGGAGTTGGGGTGAGGTCTGGCTCTACAGATAGGAAAGGTCACCACGTCATTAACAACATCCACTCCCAGCCTTCTGGGTGGAAAACAGGTATTCAATTCCTCTGTTGAAGAGACAACCCTGAGTGATGAACATGCCCAGTTTCTCCATTGCTTATCTGTGAAGTATGTGTGTCTTCTACAGTGATTTACTTAAAGCTCTGTGTGTACTGCCTAATTGCCAAGTATGACTTCTCTTGCTACCTGAAATAGAATGATCTGGAGAAATTGTTGGAACAGTGGAGTTTTGCCCTTAAGAATCTGTTGACTGGACTGGAGAGATAGCTCAGTGGTTAAGAACACTGGCTGCTCTTTGAGAGGACTTGGGTTCAATTCCTAACACTCACGTGGCAGTTCACAACTGTCTGACTCCAGTACCAGGAAATCTGACACATTCACACCAATGCACATAAAATAAAAAAAGTTTAATAAATTATATTTTAAAAAAAAGAATCTGCTGACTGCCACGTAGCTTCTTTAAAACCTGCTTTCTTGCCTTTCCCACCTATGGTTTTAGAGTATAAAGTGGGAATAGAAACTGGACCCAGGATCAAAGCCTTGTAGGAACTATGCTGGCTTTGGCTCTCTTCTACACTCATTGGTATAGACTGCTTATTCCAGAGATATTCCCACAACACTCCAAGACTTCAAGGACTTTTTTTTTAAATAACGTTGGTATGAGAGTAGGCACTTTTTGCCTCACTCCTGATTTTAGAGAAATGTTTTTTAGACTTTCTCCACTTAACATAGTGTTCATTATGAAATATATTACATCTAATACTAGTTTTATTCAGGGCTTTTATCATGAAGTGCTTTTTGGACGTTTCAAAGGCCTTTTCTAGGTCTATTGGTATGAATCATTTTATTTCTATCCTAAGTTTATTGATGTGTTATTTTACATGTGCATACTAACCAGTGTATTGAATCAGCCTTGTATCCCTGCTGTGAAGCCAGCTTGGTCATGATGTATAACTGTCTCCATCTGTTCTTCAATGTGATTTACAAGAATCTTTGCAACTACATTTGTCAGGGAACTGGCCAATGGTTTTCTGTTTTTGTGATCTGATGTTGGTATCAGGGTGATACTGGCTTCACAGAATAAGTTCTGACTTGTTCCTTTCCTATCAGTTTTGTGGAAAGATTTGTATATTGCTATTAGCTTGTCCTTAAAGGTTTAATAAAATTCAGCAGTAAATCCACCTAGTCCTGGGCTTTTCTTTGTGGGGAAAAATTTTATCACCGCTTTAATCATGTTGCCAATTATGGATCTGTGTAAGTCATTTTGATTTAATTTTGGTAGGTCACATGTCTAGTATTTACTCATTAAAAAAAAAGATCTTCCAGCTTTTTTTTTTGAAATATATGTTTTAAAAACATTCCCTAATGAATCTCTGGTTTTTTTGAGGTCTGTTATAACATCCCTATTTAAGTTCTAATTTTACTAATTTAGCTCTTCTCTCACTTCCTTTTTGATAATCTAGTTAGGGTTTTGTGTATCTTTATCTTTTCAAAAAACCAACTCTTTGTTCATTTGGTTTAAAAATGCCTGGAGATGGTAGGTGACTATACAACAATTTAAACACAGTTAAGGCCTTTAAATGTACACTGAAAACTGGTTGAGGTGATAGATTGTAGTGTGTGTGTGTGTGTTATAATCAATTTTACAAAAGAAAAAAATGAAGATTTCTATATAAAGCTCATAATTATTTTCAGGATATATTATTAAATGAGATAAACGAAGAGTCACAAATACGTATAGCATTCTGTTCTTTCCTTAAGAAAGAATAGGAGAGAACTAAGTATGACTGTTTATTACAATCTTAAAAAATAACACCACAGACATAAACCTGGAACTCAGAAACAAAAATTTAACTATTCAGGTCTGTAACAGAACAAAGTGGTAGGGAAAGAAAAAAATGAGGATAACCTTTTTTGTGTGCCTCAGAATAGAAATGGTTGTGTAGATTTTATTTTATAACTGTTGCATGTTTTGCATAATACAAGGAAAAATAATAAAAAACCAGTAAATCAGGGCCAATAATATGCCTCAGTTGATCAATGACCTGAGTTTAACTCCTGGAACCTACATGGCAGAAGGAAAGTCGTGACTACTGAAAGTTGTTCTCTGACCTCCACAGCTGCCCACACAAGATATATACACATACAACAGTAAATAAACATTTAATAAGTGATAAATTAAAAGTGCAACAAGTACATCTAACTGGGTGCAGACTTGGTAGCACAGGAATTGTCTCAAGTACTTTCCAAACACCTAGTTTGATGGTACATTCCAAGTCACATGTACCCTGTGCCCAAAAAGCACAGCAAAGGAAGGAAAATCTTAACTGTGTCGTTAATCGTCTTGCTGATGGTTTTATTATTTTCCTGCAACTATACTATACAAGAACATAATAAAAGATAGTCTAGATATCGCATAGGTGTATTAAATAAAGATCAGCTAAAGCATGTAAGAATTTGTCAGAAAAAGAGCTATCAAATAAAACAAAAGTAGCGAAAGCCATTTACTCTAAAATTGAATTGGGAATATCAGTGTTAGGAGTGATATATTTTCTGATAAAACTTTCCTAGTTATATCCATTGAAAATACTATTATTTAGCCCAATGAAATTGTCTAAGAATCTGTATACTGTATACATATATGTAATATATGTATATATAATATATATTTAATATGTGTACACATATATCATGGAAGTAAAAGATATGAAGAAGAGGAAACCAATAAAAAGGGAAAGGGGAAAAAAAGAAAGCAGTGGGGAGTGGGTATGTTCAAATATATGGTGTACTTAAACAAATAAAATTCTCATTATAAAATCTATTATTTTATATAAAGAATAGATATCAATTATCTTTAAAAAATTTTTTGAGAGTGTCTCCCTCTGTATCCTAGTTTGGCCTGGAATTCATGGCAGTCCTCAGGCTTCAGCCTCTTGACTGCTGTGATCATAGGTTTGAACCTATGTGCTGTATAAAAATTGTTTAAAAATAAAATTTATTAAGCAATGTGGCTGGAAAAAGGAAACGAGCTAAATTTGTGTGCAATCCACCATTTTTAACTCCCAGATCACAGCAAGTGTGGAAGATCTTACATGACATCAGGAGAGTACAACAGACAGACTCCAGAGTAGGACATGATAACGTCCACTTTCTTAAGTACACAGATTCATAAGGAGGAAAAGAAATTCATACTTTAAAAGCTATTTAATATATCTGTCAATCAAATGGATCTTGTGTGGCCCTGGTTGAAACAAAGATCAAGAAGTTCTGAGGAAAACTGGAACTCTGGCTTGAAGACTAAATGCATTATAATATAATATAATATGATATGATATGATATGATATGATATGATATGACACAACATGATACGATACGATATGATATGATATGATATAATATAAAAATTTTGTAATTTTATATTAGATATCTCTATATGTTTCATGTTAAACATGTCTATAAAACAATGCTATTGCCATTTTAAAAATAATTATTGTCCAGAAATATATACTGAAATAGTTAAGGCTGAAAAGACACTATGATGTTGAAGATCCATTTTAATACCCATAGATGGTAAGTGTATGAAGAATGAAGAAACCTAGCTATAAACAAAATAGATTTAATGCCTAGAAGTTAACTGTGCTATTTTTTGTGGTTTTGTATATGTTTTTAATTCTCAGTGACAAAAGGTAAAAAGTTAAAAATTAAAGAATTCAACTTTTAAGGCCACTCCACAGGAGAAAACCCATGTATGGTTGGAGAGTTCAAGGGCCCTGGGGGTTGAACCTGTAACTATTATTGTGCTAAATAGTGATGGCATCAAACTGCCCTCTAAATTCACATCTCCTTACACGAAGATTGGTGCAGCCCTCAGACCTCATCAGCAAATTTTCTTTGTGCAGTGGATAGCATGTGGTGATATGTTATTTGTGCTCTAACAAGTAAAGCTTGCCTGGGGATCAGAGGACAAAGCCAGCCACTATATTAAACATAGAGGTCAGGCAGTGGTAGCACACGCCTTTAATCCTAGCATTCGGGAGGCAGAGATCCATCCGGATCTCTGTGAGTTCAAGGCCACATGGGGAACAGAGCCAGGCGTGGTGGCACATGCCTTTAATCCCAGCACTAGGAAGGAAGGAAAATGGCAGGGCACAGAAAGGTATATAAGGCATGAATAAACAGGAACTCACTCTCTTGAGGCTGAGGATTTCATAGAGGTAAGAATGTGGCTGGCTTGTTCTGTTTCTCTGATCTTTCAGCTTTCACCTCAATATCTGGCTCTTTTTTATTAATAAGACTGTTTAGCAATTCATGTTACAGTGGCACTTACTGCAGAAACTTACAACTAGTCAAACTGCAGAGCATAAGTGACTATGGAGTGCCCAGCCATCTATCTCATAGCCCCTTTCCAAAGCTCGGGAACCATTGTGGAAAAAGAAGCAGAAAGATTATAAGGGCCAAAGATGAGGGAGGGCAGGAGTGAAAGTGTCCTCTGGACATGACAGTACCACTGCACTCATGAACTCAGGGTAGCTGGTGTTGCCCGCACAAGATCAACCCAATCTCCAATCTGAGTGGGAGAGGGAGTGCTTTACAAGCCGTCCCCGCTCCATTAATGGACAGTTGATGGATTCTCAGGGAGGGGGGAAATCAATTTTCTTTAAGGGTGTGGTTCCTAGTATGTCAACAATGCTTTAGCAGATGGCCCCATAGCCAGAAGTACATGAACAACACAAATTGGGAGTCTATGAGTTATTAAATTAAAAAAAAGACACAAAGTTAAGGGATAGGGAGGTAGGAGTGGATCCAGAAGGAGTTAAGAAGAGGAGTTGGGGTGAATATGATCAAAATACATTGCATGGAACTGTCAGTGAAAATATTTTTGTAAAAAGAAATAGAACATACATTATTAGTTTGTTGAGCAAAGCTTTTCTGGACGATTAACTCAACATCTGGGAAAGGAATGGCCATCACCCTCTCTTTCGTTGACATTTTCAGATGTACAATATGGCTCCCATACTGTAGGTAAGGCATGGCATCAGGTAGCTCCCATATCACCGCAAGGAAGAGATCATCCTCTTTTCCCTTGTGCAGAAGAAATTTAGTAAGTGAAAAAAAATCAATGAATTATTTCCTTTGAGCTGTTCTTAAATAAAGCAAACACAGACTGGTACCCCATCATCCTACATCATCAACTCTCAAGCATTGCCTTTTCACTCAAAACACAATTTTATTTGCTTCTCATTCCTTATAGTAACCAGAAACCTTAATCTGCTGTTAGTCATGGAAGTCTTATTATCTCTACAGGTACATGCCTTAAGCCACCTCTGTATCTGTTGTTTAGCTGTATGTCAAATTGACACAAGCTGGAGTCCTTTTAGAAGAGGAAACTTCATTGAGACAATGCCCTGATCAGATTGACCTGTGGGCATGCCTGCAGGGCATTTTCTTTAGTGATGATTGATGTGGGGAAGACCCAACCCACCGTGAGTGGTGCCACCCCTGGGCTGGTGGTCCTGGGTGCTAAAAGAAATCAGGCTGAGCAAGCCATGAGGAGCAAGCCAGTCAGCAGCACTTTCCCATGGCCACGGCATCAGTTCGTGCTTTGAGTTCCTGTCCTGACTTCCTTCAATGATGGACTACAGACATTTACTATGGGTAGGGCAAGAATGCAGATACAAAATGAGGTGTTCAATTCTTACCAAGCTTAGTCTAATGTTCTGCACAGGGGACCAGAATAACTGAAGTGGAAGTGGCTAGGGCAGAACTCAAGACATTTTTGATATATGATGGTCCCATATATCCCAGTCAGACCTTGAACTTCTGACTTTCTACTTCCACATCCCAAGTGCAAGGATTACATGTGTGTGCCACCACACCCAGTTCATGTGATGCTAGAGATCAAACCTCGAGCTTCATGCATGCTTAAGGCAAGCGCTCTACCAACCTAGCTACATCCCAAGCCCAGAATCATGGTTCATTTTGCAGCCCTTCAAGTACAGTGAGCATCTATGATTACTGACATTCCGATGATTGATTACAGCAACTTCCAGAAGGTGAGTGACATTGTGCTTTATGTGGGCTGCCAAGGCTTTCCTCTACAGCCACATTTTGAAATATGCAGACAACAGGGGAAGAATCTACTGGCTGGGGAAGATGCTCCTTCTTTTCTCTCAGCTAAAAAGATTAGTCATCCCAGTCGATGTTTGTACTTCATCACTGAAATCCTATTCAAGACTTATTTTCCGCTCCTAGCTTCCAGAGGAGAACAACAAAGGCAATGTTAGTCCTTGAGGTCTAGCTGACTGGGTGAGGGCCACACAGGCAGGATAAATGATGTTGGCTTCTTTTTAAATTTGAAGAAGGCATTAGTATTCCTAGGTGGTAATAGATTCACAGGGAAAATAAATTAGCCTATCTCCAACCTCCTCAAACAACCCTGAGCAGATTGCACCATTAACCTTAAAATAAACAAGTCATTTTGGTGAGGAATGGAAAAAGTGACTTGAGCATCTTTGAATGCTTTACAGGCCATAACGGACAAAATCTGCTGGGGAGCCTTCTGGAGGAGCCTTCGAGAATTATTGCCGAGGTAGGGTGTGGGCAATGTTAGCGGTGGTAGATGTATATCAGTCCAACCTTTCTGACAACCATTTTAAGGGATCCTAAATGATGCTAAAGCAAGAATGTGATGGGTGGGATGCTGGGCCTGGGCAGCTGAGCTTTCTGTCATTTGCTTGGACTTGAGCAAAGTTGGTTATGAGCATCACAGGAAAGTTGGTGGCTAAGCACTATCCTCAACTGATTGCCAAAAGAAGTTGAGCAGAGCTGGAGATGTAGTTCGGTTGGTAGATTACTTGCTTAATATGATTAAAGCCCTACACTCAACTCCCAGTATCACATAAATTGAGCAAGTGGGTGTGGTGATCTGTGTGCACTAGGGAGGTAGAGGCAGGAGAATCAAGAGTGTAATGTCAGTCTGGGCTACATGAAACCATGATATGAGAGAGAGGTGGGGTACACAGAGACACAGAGAGGCAGAGAGATGTAGAGACAGAGATGGAAACAGAAAGAGGAGGACACAGAGAGAGGCAGAGAAATGAGGATCACCATTGGATTTCCCTCAAGGAGACTGTCTGCAGAGCAAGCGTGGAAGTGGGATTCAAACCTGGATTAGCTTGACAGTCCCATTGCGCTCCAGGGCAAGGACAAGATACTGGTGCTTCACCTGGGCCTTGAGGAAAAACAGGCGCAGCAGGCCATGTTCGTCCTCTACCCAGTCTTTCCCTTCAGTCAGCATTTTCATCTCCTGCCCACTGCCAAAGTCCCAGATCTTAGCTGTTCCTGAGGGCATGGAGAAAAGGCTTTGTAGGTAAGATGGCATGCAGACAGCCTGGCTCGTAGCTCAGGGGACACTGGCAGCTGCGTTTCCCCCAGTCGCCCTACATGATTGATTTGCCACAGGCTGATCCAAGAAGTGAGCAGCACAGGGTGGGTGTCTGCTTTGGTTTGGATAAATGCTCCCCCAAGGCCTGGGTGCTGAAGGTTTGGTTTCCATCTTGACACTATTTATGGAACCTTTAGGAGGTGGGGCCTAGCGGTCACTTAATCTTTATGTCGGAAAACTCATGTCTGTTGATTCCATCAACTAGCTTGTGAGGAAGTATTTATTTAAAAATCTACCCCAGAATAAATATATTCTGGGTAATGAATGCAGTTGGTCATACTCTCTATCTTAGAGCAAGCAGATCTTTGGTAAACATTCAGAATAAGGTGAGTTGGGAAAGTGGGGCAGTGTGTAGTTATCTACTTACATCCCGCTTCTCCCATAAGCCCAACATCCCCTATGTCTCAGTCCTCAACACCAATACTGCTAGACATGCAATGATTTGACTGTATGCCCCTCTACCAGGCTACCGCCATCATTACCAACACCAGACATTAATTATACCCTGGATACCCTGCCTGCAGTGGCAAGAACTACCCAGTATATGTTGTACAGTGGTAAGAGCTATGTGAGTCCAGGAGAATCAGCCCAACCCCTTGCTGCTTACTACATATGGTGAACTAGCTGGGGTAGTACTGGGGCACTCACTCTGGTGTGAGGATGAAGGAGAGCTGGTGGGCTGACCAACCCAGCAATCACCCAGACCCAGAATCAGAACTGAGTTGGCCCATCCCATCACCCACCCCATCTATGATCTGCTGGAGCACATGAAGGGGCTCATCCTGCTGACCCAAAGTTACAGGATCTCCATGGCACAGGACAGCAACAGGATGTCCAAAAGGAGCTCCAGTGAGGGTCCAGTATTGATGATGTAGCAAAAACCAGAGACCTCAAACCAGACCAACCACTCAATGCAATGAAGGTTTGTAAATAACAATATATGGACTAAAAGTACTAGTAACTTTTATATGGATGTGATGAGTGCCTGTGGCATGGTGAGGCTGCGTTCCTCTGCACCGCTCCTTAGAGAGGAATGCTGTGTCTCTGTGCATTGTATGCCAATGCATTCCCTTACCTTAATCCTGCACTCATGACTGCATTCCTGCTGGTTATCCTCTGTTCACATTTTAATATATCCGACTTTCACATATCCTGTGCCGGCTCATTCCATCAACCGGTTTGTGAGGAAGCATTTATTTATCAAATATACCCCAGAATGAATAGATTCTGCATAGTGCACACAGTTGGTCACTCCGTCTAGAGCAAGCAGATCTTTTGTAGGTGTTCAGAACAAGATGTGGTGGGAAGGTGAGGCAGTGTGTAGCTTTCTAGTTCCCACAAGTGCTCCACAGAAGAAGAAATATGAAACACAGTCACATCCAAGCCCCAAAGTCCCCCAAGTTTCATGTACCATCATAGAGCCTAAGGATAGAAGTATATCCACTACAGAACTCTAGGCAATCTGCACCAAAGCTGGATGAATATTTTGTGTGGTTCCCAAATATACTATGAGTAAAAATAATTTAGAGGTTGGGAATGTAGCTCAGAGGCAGAGTGTATGGGTACCATGTATAAAGCCCCAGGTTCAATTCTCAGCACATACAAGTGTGCGTGCGTGCGTGCGTGCGTGCGTGCGTGCGCGCGTGCACTCACTCACTCACACACACACACACACACACACACACACACACACACACACACACACACACACACACACAACAATAGCAGCAATAGCAGCAGCAGCAGCAGCAGCAGCAGCAGCAGCAGCAAGAGATTCCAAGTCTAATGACTGCCTCTTAGCTAACAGCACATAAAAGGCATCCAATAAAACGAGTCAGCACAACACGGCTATTTCCCACCAAAAGCTGAAATGCAGTGGTATCTGTAAAAGTCTTTTCATTTCTAACTACAGTGTAAAGTGGCTTTCCCTAATGTATTAGCTCATTGTAAGTAGCTAGACACATTAAAATGTAGGTGATACTCTGTGTGCCAATGTATCAGTGCTTAATATTTTGAGGCTTTGGTTTGTGTTTTCATGACCTTTTTTTTTAAAGTTTGCATACAAAGTAATGGGTTTCATTATGCTATTTTCACACACATGTATCATTATGTGAAGGCTTTTGCACATAGATGCAGCAGTCATGTAAACAGAATGTAAGTTACTGGTTTGTTTATCACATCAATATCCAGACATTAGTGGCCATGAAATATGACTCTTGGCATTTACCCAGGCATAGCCATCTCTCTGGACTGTCTCTATGTCAGCTGGATTCACATTTACCCTTAAACCCCCTAAACTTAGGGATTCCTAAACAAATTCTCACGACACCAAGGTGGAGATGTCATATTCTGAACACTAGTCTCACCATTATATGCTCCTGTGGCAAAAAGAAATCCACTCTCATCAATAGCTGCACAGGTTAGTTCAATATTGAAGCCATGAGGGTCTAGAATCTGGTATATTTGGAGGCCAGTCTCAAGTTCCCATACCTACAGAAGAATAAAACAACATCAAAAAACAAAACAAACAAACAGGTATTCCATATATCTGCCCTTCATTTCTGAACAAAGTTCTTTTTACCATTTTCAAACTAGTACGTGACACACCAAGCTAGCACCTTCCCCAGGACCCTGCCCTGAGTGCTGGCTTGCTCAAAGGCAAGCTGTGAAAGTTGACTCCTGTTATTAGGGACTGTGCTATTCCTGAGTGTGTTTGTTGAGCATCACACTGGCCAAGGCAATGTCTGGTTGTAGTCCCATGGAAACTTTAGACAAAACTGAGGGCATGCTTTTGAAGGGGTGCTAGCCCTCAGCCCCTTCCCTTCTTCTCTTTCACTCCCTGACTACTAGGAGGTGAGGATCTTGGTCTAGCTCACATCCTACCACAATGCATTGCCTCATCAAATGCCCCAAAGTAACTGGGCTAATCCACCATGCAACTGAAACCTCCAAAGCCATGCACCAAAGCAAATATTTCCTCCTTTTAAGTTGATTGTCTCGGGTATTTTGTCACAGTAATGGAAAATTTCCCTTCTTACTATAAGAGTGAAATGAAGGTGGCAGCAGGATAGAAATACAGTAATTAACAGTGCTCAGTTAAGTCCTCAGTGACACCAAGGGTCACGGAACAAAAGTGTGGTGAACAGCATAATATGTGGGCAAATTGTAAAGAAAGAGCTCCCTGGTCATTTTAGATGGTTCTCTGACGAGAGATATGAGACACAGTGACAGAGAAAGGGTTTGCAGTAAGAGTGAGACAGACCATCTGTGAAACAGGCTGGCAGTATTGGGAAAAGTCCAGAAACATCATGGCTCATCAATCCCTCTCATTGGAAACACACAGAGGACAGACCCATAGAGCTATGATCTGCATCTCTCCTACATTAGGGTTGCACCAAGTTCAGGTGTAAATGTTCTGGTCAGTGAAGCAGCTGTGAGCACTGGGGCTGGTGGGGGTGGGGCAATACACCCTGCGGGCCAGAGGTAGGTGTGCTTTTCTCCCAGGGAACAGAAGGAAAGTTGTGACAGCCAGGCGAGAGGGAGTGGAAGCTGAAGAAATGGCTCACGGCTGCATGCTGGCCACTGTTCGGGGAGTAGTAGAGGCATGATGCACACGAAGTAAGTCTGGCCCAGAGGCCACGTTCTCAGTCTCTGAGTGTTGTGTGTAGACAGTGTTCTTAGAGGACAGAGAGAGGAATGTGGGTCCCTGCATAAATGGGTCTTGAAGTTGCCCATCTCCGAGTCTGAACTACAATCCCTCTCCATCTAATAGTGTAGAAAAATTCCCTTAGACAATTCTCTCCATCTTCTATTGGCGAAGATAAGACAGACTATGCTTAAGAGCACGTTATTATGTGAATGTAGGGCAGGGTTTATTTTATGTTATTATGTGAATGCAGGGCAGGGTTTATTTTAGTCTATTTTATCTGTAGCAGCAGAAAATAAAAAGTCCTCTGATAATTAACCAAGTTCAGGGGATTCAAACTTGAGAAAATATCCAGCAGCTGACCACAGAAGGTTAAAATATAAGGAATTTGATGGGTTCCCAGAGGGATGCTGTCTACAGGTCCATAGGCCTCTGCTTAGTGCATTCATGAACTAACAGGATGGAAACGCCCCTAGGTATCACTGGTAGATGAGTTTCAGTGGTTGTAACGACAAGCATAGTTATCATGGCTAAGTTCTATGCCACTCAACACAGCAGTGGGCATGGCTAGAGGTACAGAGCCCAAGGCCATGGCTGCTCACAGTCAGACTCGGGCTCATATCCAGCCTTTATGAGAACAGAGGATCTGAGGCAGGTCACTTATCTCTGAGCCCTGTCTTCCCCATCTCTAGAAGAGAAGGCTTTGTCTATCTGCAAAGATCTTGCATGAGATTTAATGGAGATCATAGACTTTGTGGTCTTGGTACATAACCTGCACCAGTAAGAGTTACAGTGCATGCCTACTAAACGTCTTTCCTTTCCTTCTTAGCATACAACCTCTAGTGAAATTTAAATACAGGCTAGTTCTTTCTCCTTAATGTATTTCCTTTAAAATGTCTATTTGGCTCAGGGGGTAAACATGCTTGCAACTGAGCCTGATGACCTGAGTTTGATCCATGAAACCCACATTGTAGGAGGAGAGAATCAACACCCACAAGTTGTCCTCTGGTCTCCATAGACACATACCCCTTTCCACACAAAATCAATATATAAATGTAACATTATTAAATTTTCTATTTTTTAATTTGACTTTATTTAATCAAACATGTGGCTCAAACTGGCTTAAAACACTTCTTTATCATATATTCATGAAAACTTAAAGAGTTTCAATATATTGTCTCAGTCTATGTATCACTACATATAAAATTCTGTTTTATCTGTAAGAAGATAATATTTCACATACTCTGCCTTTTCCTGTCTACGGAGTCATTACATGCTCACCTTGATTATAGACTCTGAGCAGATAGTGAGCACTTGGTGGAAGTATTTGTTGTAAAGCATGACATTGATTTCTCGTTCGTGAGTGTGAGGAACCTGCTTTGTGTCCTGTATCATCCTGGTCAAAGGATACATGTCTATAACACTCGATCCTGGAGAGGAAGGAAAGTAGGAAGGATGTCACAAAGCTGGGTTGATGATGCATCCTTGTAATCCCACACTTTAGAGACTGAAATGGGAATATCATGAGTCCTGGGCCAACCTGGGCTGCATAGTAACATCACATCTTAAAAATGAAATGAAGTAAAAAATGAAAAAAATTGCAAAAGCATCTCACCCCTAAATTGTCATTACCAGAAGTCTGGAATTTCATAGAGGATTTGATCCAACCAACTACGTGTGGAGCTAGCTGGCCAGTGAGATTAGAGTATAAAAGTTCTGTCCCTTAACATTTAATAAGGTGAGAATACTGTTGCCTATCCCTGACAAACACTGCAAATGTGATTTAGTCAGGGGAAAGGATTCATCAGAGACTTCATTATCCTTCAAACACAGGTCATTCTGACCTCCGTTTTTATAGTCTGCTCCCTGCTCGCTAATGTGTGCCTCTCCAATGTGTGCACGTCGGTGATGCTGTCCACCAGCCCTCTGCTTGCACTGGTGATTGAAATTGAGTCAGAGAGTTCTTCAAGCCAACAAATGATAACACATGCTGTGAACATGGTCTGATTAAATATAATGAATGAGAATGATTGCAGGCCAGTGATTGCAACATCAGTAGTAAAAGTAATTTTCAAATAACCATACTAAAAGATGTAGTTAGCAAGGCCAGGGCATTTTTCTATGTGTAGGACTTAAATTGCAAAATGAGAATCATGTGTGCTTTAGCTTAGTGTAAAGTCTAGAAATACTGATAAACATATCAAAGCATTCTGTAGTTAATTTTGCTTATTTATTTGTTTTTTTTCCCTCCAAGACAGGTTTCTATGTGTAGCCCCGGCTATCTTGGAACTCATTCTGTAGGCCAGGCTGTCCTAGAACTCAGAGCTCTGCCTGCTTCTGCTTCCCCAAGTGCTGGGATTAAAGGCCTGTGCCACCACAGCTCAGCACATTCTGTAGTTGAAACAAAAACCAAAGTTCTAAGAATAGGAGACTTCTTCCAGCTTTATTGATGTGGACATCCATTTGCCACTGTGGACCCTGCAGTGACTTTGTCAAATCATTCCACAGAAGCTCTCAAAGTCATAGCAGCCGTTACTAAGGTGTTTAGATTCTGTGATACAGTCTGTCCATGTGTAAAGGACTGAGATGGCTCATCAGGTAATACTACTCAATCCAAACACCACTGCTGGGAAATGTGATGGATGGGCATCAGGCTCTCAAAGGCACATGGTGGGGGGGTTGGGGGGGGAGACTTTTCCATAAGTCCTTAAACACGATACTAACAGTTAACATAGCTGGATTTGCAGGTGAAGAACTGACACTCTTCTACCCTTTTGGCCTGTTGTAGGGAAAAGAAAAAATGAGGATTCAGGAGTCTGTTTCAACATCTTACTAGTCAGTTCAACTGTCTGAGGTTTGGCTTGGCCATTTATAAAACTTCAGTGACCAATTCTTGCCTCCAAGGGTGACTATGCAGATGAAATGAAAAGTGAAAAGGGCAACAGATAGTTGTTGTCATCATCACCAGCGTATTGATGGCACTGGCAGGAACAATGTGTTCTACCAAGCATTGAGTGCAGTGTTGCTGTCCACATGGCTCATAAAACTACCCTACCTGATGTCACTTGAATCTAAGCACAAATTAATGCACTTGATGAAATCCTGATATCAAGCTGATGACTGTGCTTTCTAAAATATTTTATTTTATTTTATGGGCATTGGTGCACTGCCTGCATGTATGTCTGTGTGAGGTTGTGAGGGCTGTACTTTTAATGATCAGGCAATATACAGATCTCAGTATTTTTGCAAATAGGAACACCACCAAAAGTGTATAAGAGTGGACAGAATTCTTGGCTTTTCTATTCTCCTTCTTCTTCTTTGTCTGGGTATTTTAGCCTTTTCTTACTCTGATGATAATTGGGATGGAAATTGAACCCAATAATCAAGCAGGCAAGTTTGGATATTAAGAGGTGACATTTGTGTATAGACATTAAAATGTTCATTTCAGAGGAGGTCAGATAGAGGACAGGCATTCACAACTGAAACTAAGTTCTATTTTACAGGGTGGAAAATTATTTATTGAGCATGAAGTGATGGTTCTCTTCTAACCCAGGAAAAATAAACAACACAAAATTAAAAATAATTATGTTCCCTAACAGAGACAGCACCAATCACTTCCCTGCCTTAATTAATCCCCCAGGAACTCAGAGCAGGTGGTCAGTGGTAATACGCTTAGGAAAGGCAATTCTGGCTTAGTGTTCCAGAGGGCAGAGCTACTATTAATATAACCATTTGTCTCCTAAATGCTGAAAACTGTATATGTGAACAGTAGCCAACCTACATGCCTAACAAGATTCTTTGTCTTTTTAGTGTATCTGTCAAAGAGAGAGAGAGAGAGAGAGAGAGAGAGAGAGAGAGAGAGAGAGAGAGAGAGAGAGAGAGAGAGAGAAACCCATTAAATTTGGCAACCAATGCATTGTATTTAGGACCTATCTTCATGGGTTCTGGCCTCTCTCTCTACTGCTCTTTATCTGGAAGCAAAGGCAGTTGAGAAGGTCTGTACCCATCTTACAGAGTGACCAACTGCTTACCAGAACTGTCTTGCATCAGAAAACAAGTTCATGCTGGTACATGCTAGGATCACTACCCTATGAAATACCAATTTATTGCATCCAAGAAGCAAACCAGAGCCCTAGACATAGTGGGAGCTTTCTCATCCCTTTTTGCCTCACCTGGGCTCATCATCTTATATAACTGACCTGGTATTTTCATAAAAAAAGAGGTTGCATATTTCACCAACTCACGTACGATAAGAAATTGAAGTAAATATTTATATTGTCATGAACCATGGTTAGTCATTTTCTTTTCTTTGTGTGTGTTTTCATAGTAAATACTCAAGAGCTATCTTTTTTTAAAATGTAAAAGACATGAAATTAATTTATCATGCTTTCGGTACACATACCTGTAATGAGCATGCCATGGTTGGCATCATACACCATAGAATAAATCTGCATGTCTCCTGGCCCTCCTTGGCTGTCATGGAAGACTTGCAATACTGATAGAGTCTGTATATCCCACACCCGGAAGACCTGGAAAATGAGCAGAATTCACCAATTTACACACCGTTGTTCTCACTCCGGACAGTTAAGTCTTCAAGTGATTTGTCATCTTATAAACTTGCAGTGAAATGCGATTTACATTGTGAGCACACAGGTGCTATGTTTCAACTTGGCTCTTAGTTCCAATGTTGTTTTATCAACATGAGTAACTGGCTGCAAAGTGTTGCTTAAGGGTTTATCTTTTGTCACAGGATTTTCCTCCATTATTCAAGATGCCCAGGAAACAGAACTAATCAAGGTATCTATTGAGAGATGAATGGACAAAGAAAATGTGCTACATATACACAATAGAATTTTGTACCACCATCAAGAAAAATGAAGTTATGACAATCACAAGAAAATAGATGCAACTGGAAATCATGTTAAGTGAAATAAGCCAGACTCAGAAAGAAAAAGTACTTCATATCTCCTCTTATATGGAAACTAGACTTTAAATTGAGAATGCATATTTATGTGTGTGTATGCAAGTCATCAAACGAGAAAGGAGATCATGAGGGAGGAGGAAGAAATGTTAAGGGAAGTTGGAATTAGAGGAAGTAACAGAAAGGAAGGCTGTCTGAAGATAAGGAACCAGCTGTGGGGACAGAAAGGCAGAAATAAATGAGAAGAAAATATAATGGCACAGATGCATAAAGATGCCACTCTTAGGTGTTTGTAATATGCTAGTGCCTTTGAGAGAAAAGAGCAGTGATACTGAGGAGGTTTTATGGGAGCTTGCTGTTCTCTGTCAACAACTCCAAGCTCGAGCTGGCAGTGTTTGAGCGAAGGTGTTGGTGTCAAAGCTTGGGAGAGCCTACCTAAAGTCAGTCAGCCCTGGGGAGGCTTAGGAAGAAAACAAGGACAAACCATTTCAGAAAGAGGCTGAGTTGGTATAAGGGACAAGCATACAAGATTTCCACTTTCACTAAACAAGTCTTGGGGTGACAGAATGGAATATTTACAAGTCATAATTAAATCTTGCATATGCACAAGTGAACATAAATTACAAAAAAATTTCACAGTCTTGTAGCAGTAAGAGTTAAAATGCTGATTTTTTTCAAACAAATTGGGAGTGAAAGAATTAAACAAAAGGATCATTTTGGCATTGGGAAAAACACTGAATTATGAGGCTGATTAACTTTGAGAATAAGGTGCGGAGGGGAGCTAAAGTCGCTAGCCACAAAATCTCATAGAAAAGGACAAGAGAAGGCTTTGGCCAAAACCTTCTGTAAGGAACAACTAATAAGTAATGATAAAGGAAATCAAAAATTTAAGCATTCTGTACACCAAGGGATGCATGCTTAGATTCAGCAATGGCTTCTGGCAAGCTTCATGTCAGTTGCTATTAGTCAAAGGTATTAATACCTCTTTTTCCCCCACTTTGATGAGTGTTTGTCATAATATGAGTAGAGTGATATCTGAGTTTTAGGAGTTGGTGACATATTTATAGACAAGAGAACATCCTAGTCTGAAAAGGTACAACACTAACAAGATATTCATAATCCATGAACACACAGTGACTGGGGAACTGGGAGAGGCACTTCACTCAAGTGTAATGACCAGTGAAAGTGCTATCAATATCTTTGCTGCTGACTGCAGCCAAGCTCAGATGGATAATAGGGAAGAGATGGGTCATTATGTTGCACCATAAGTACTCTTTAAATGGAAACATGAACATTGAGACATAGTGAAAACATCATCATTAGAGCCCATCTTTAGAAACAGTGTCATTTAGATGGAGTGAGCAATTTAGGAATAGATTAGTCTATCATATATTAAGGGAGTCTGGGATTTGACCTGCCCTTCTAAACTTTACCCAATGGCCACAAGAAGTTAATTTCTGAACCAAATGGTGCTGACTCAATGGATTACATGATTTTACATTGCAAGGAGCCTGGACATGTGTGAGGTGATAAAACCCCTTTGAGACTCATCATCATGGACAGATGGTACATTTGAGAACTGAGGTATGTAACTGAAGTACAAATGGATTATGTACAGCTGTACTACAAATGGATGGTAAGTATTTGACATTGTCCTTATAGGGAATTCAATGCAAAATGTGCTTATTTAGTTGTTACCAGTAAGTTGATATATAAAAAAAAAGTTAGCAATGTGGAACAAGACTTGCTAATTTTGTTGTCTTGCTCTCACATTTTTCCCCTGTGTGATAATTGGCAAGTAAAAAAATGAGGTGAAGACATCAGCACACACATCATTTAAACATCAAATGCTTGGGGGAGGGACTCATAAATCCCCACTCCTAGCAGAGAATCTGACCATTGGTGACTTTTAGGAGAGGGAGTGAGTTCTTTTTGTTTGTTTGTTTTGTTTTGAGTGTGTAGCCCTGGTAGGTCAACCAGGCTCCAGTGGTTGGTTCTATACCTAGGAGTACATGGTCAGCACTGACTGAACTCAGTAGATTATTAAGAAAGAAAAACAAGAAAGGAAGAAAGAAAGAAAGAAAGAAAGAAAGAAAGAAAGAAAGAAAGAAAGAGAAAGAAAGAAAGAAAGAAAGAAAGAAGAAAGTTAGGAGGAAGGAAGTAGCAGTGAATCTCAGAGACGATAGAAGAAATTGTTATTATAACTAACCACCCTTATTGAACTATTCTTCCTAAAACTTTCAAATAAATTGTATTCAATCAAACAAATATGTTTTTTCAAATATATTGCAAAATATTCAAGATTCTCATTTTTGACATTTATAACTTATTTTTCTTTCTGTATTACTTTAGCCAGAATATTTAAATCAGTTTCATAACAAAGAAAAACACGGAAGTCTTTGTTTTTTCCTTTCCTTAATGATGATGATCTTAGCTAGATTCGGAGCCTCTGGTGTTCTACTACAGAGGAAAATACCATCTTTCTTCCCAATATGAAGTTTTACACCTGTCTTTCAACATGTCCCGTCTCATGCTGCGGTCAAAAGGAACAGTGCAATGGCTGTTCTTCTCTATGCTGATGTCACTTTTCTCAGCAGCCATCAGTTACTCCAGAGAAAAATTATGCATGTATGTATGCATGCAAGTGTGTATGTGTGCATGTGCGCATGTGCGCATGTGTGTATGCAGACATGTGCAAGGCCTCCCTCTAGTTGACTTGAAGAGCAGCTTCCTTTTGGTTCTACTGTTTTCTTGTTACCTTTGCGGAGGAAAGGCTGATGACGTGTTGCTCTTTCTCGTTGCTTACGATCTCTGTGATGCTGAACATGTGCCCCACCAGCTTCCCAACGGGCTTAGTGCTGATATTGGGGTGCCACAGCCGGAGGACTTTATCATCTCCTAGAAAGGACGACAGTGACAGAGGCCTTGCATTCTCAAGCGCTTGAAAGTTAAAAAGTCTCCCCCTTTTTATTGCTGTTGCTGTAATAAAAACACCTTGGCCAAAAGTAACTTAGGAGAGAAAGGGTTCATTTTAACTCATGATTTCAGGTTCCAGTCCATCAGAGCAGGAGTGTAAAGGCAGCAGGAATTTAAAACAAGCAGTCACAACACACCCACCGTCAAGAGCAGAGAAAAATGAATGCATGCATGCTTATTGCTCATCTAGCAGTCTCTACTCTTCACAGTAGTGAATGACATGATTCACTTTCAGGCTGGATTTTCCCACATCAATTAACGCAACCAAGACAATTATCATAGGCATGCCCACAGGCCAATGGGAACTAGGTAGCCCCTCACTGAGATCTTCTCATTCTAGGCTGTGGCAACTTGACGATAAAAATTCACCATCACAGAAAGCATCTCTCATTTAGTGAGATCCTTGTCTTTTTTCTAGCAAACCACAGCCCACAGCTCCCCAGAGGCATTTCATCTGTGACTGACTTGTAAGGCATTAGCCTTGTTTTGGATCTGTCTGTGATGAACGTATCTTCACATACAAATGTGAATTCCCATAAATATTTCATGAGTACTTTTCTTGATTCAATACTTCCCTACTCTGTCATGCATTAATACATTATTTATACTTTATTTACTTCCAAAACATATTTCAGGCAGCTGGTCTTTTGTTTTACAGCCTTAAATTATGCAAACATTGTAATAATAAAAGAAATCAAGGGAAGAGGCAAACTGCTCATAATATCCAGCATGAACAAATCATCCGCCTTTTATTTTTCCATTTTCCTTTTTCCTGCAGCAGAACCACAAGCACAAGACATTTATATGTAATTACTATCATAGCATAGATTTTGTCTTTCAATTGCTAAAATAATCTGGATACATAGTAAGATAGTGAAACAGTATAGAAGGGTGACATCTTTGTAAAAATAAATAAATAAATAAATAAATAAATAAATAAATAATAAATAAAGCTTTCTCCCAGCCTGCCCTCTTATGCTCCAATTTCTAGTTCCATTCCCTACAGGAAATCACTGTTAACATTTTTTGCAGTTTATTTGTGTGTGTGTGTGTGTGTGTGTGTGTGTGTGTGTGTGTGTGAGAGAGAGAGAGAGAGAGAGAGAGAGAGAGAGAGAGAGAGAGAGAGAATGAATGAATGGCAGAGGTCAAGTTCAGGTATCTTCTGCAAGTGTGCTCCATCTTGTTTTTTGAGACAGGGTCTCTCACTGAGCCTGGAGAGCATTGACTGACACTGTAACTGCATGTATTTGTAGTGTGTGTTGTAACAGTTTCAACACTTTTATACACTATATAATAGTTAGATCAGGATAATACCTTTTATCCCAGAAATGTTTTTCTCTGTGATGGGAACATTGTAAAATCCTGTCTACTAGGTATGGTGAATTAGTCAATTGACTGCTTCAACCACAGTTATCCCATTAAACTGCAGAATGTTGGAAGGAATTCCTCCTTCCCAACTGTGTGCTTCTAACCATGCACTGTCACTTCGAATCCCTCCCTCCCCTAGCCCCTGCCCAGGTTCTGGTAACTGCTATACTACTTTCTTCTTTAAGATTGACTTAAGATCACATAGAAAGAGAACATGTAGTATTTGTCTTTCTGTGTGTGCCTTATATCATCAGCATGATGTCCATGTTGCAAGAATTGATGGAATACCATTGTTCTTTCATAGTTGAATACCTTTCCATTGATAGTTCATAATTACTTAACCATCATCTATGGCATACTGTTCTCTGACTCTGCATTTTCTGTTTTATTTTATTCAGCAATGCTGTAAGGAACAGCCCATCTGTGTGTTCACTTTTGTTTCTTAGATTAGTTGCCAACAGTGAGTTTCTAAAAGTAGAAACATTATGTTAAATCATGTTTATGTCTTTAAGACCCATTGCCAAGTTGCTTTCCAAAATGCTTCTACCAACCATGAGGACATTGGCTTTATCAGTCTGACCATCATGTGGACGCTGTGATTTAAAGTATTTAATGCAGCTAAAATGATACTTCATTTTGCTTTGCATGAGTGCTGGGGAGCAAATTCAGGTGCCCTTGCTTCTGCAGCAAACACTCTTACATGGAGCCATTCCCCAAACCTCTTCTTTCCGCTTTCTGATATATTATTCCAAATACATCCTATCTAAATCACTAAGCTGAATAATTTAATACTTTAAATCATTTAATCCTGAGGAGCTTGTGTCTTGTAATACAAGGATGTTGGATCATATAATTTCTTGACTATTATCTTGAAATTCTGTAATATTTTTATGATTCAGCTTCCAGGATGATATTTAATGAGTTATCTGTGAAATAGAAAATCCAATATCTTAAAAATAATCTATATTTTAAAAATCATTGCACAACTTACTCCTTTTAAAACATAAATAAATTATAGCTGTGCATTTGTGCAAATAATAAAGGCTGTTTATAACAAATAAATTCCATATACATATGACACAAACAATGAAAATATCTTTCTGAGTCATTTTAAATCTTGGCTCTTGTAGTTCATTCACTGAAAGTTAGTACCTGACCACACCTAAGTGCTAGGAGTCTGGGGAAGATAGCCTAGTTAAATTGCCCAGGAAGAGAAGTTCTGCATGTGGAGCAAAGCTAGCCAGCTTCTGCATACGTGTGCATGTGTGTGTGTGTGTGTGATCTATAAGTGTATGCTTGTGTTTTCACGGTATGGGTGCACACAAGCCTCTGGGTGCTTGAGAAAGCCAGAGGAGGACCTTTGGGTGCCACGCTTTCCTTTTTACCTTCTAATCAGGTTCTCATAACCAAGGGACAGTTATACATAAATCTTATGTATAACTTATTTAACTTATCTATTTTGCTTAATCTGCTAGCATGCATTCTGCCACCCACAGGACCGACTTGCCTTTATATGCTAGATACTTTTGTATAAGTAGACAGATCCATGATTAAAAGACCAGTTATGTACAGGGTACAACTGGGTGACTTGGAAGTTAGATATTCATAGGTTAGCCAAATGTGATAGATTCAGATGCTCCAATAATTCTATTATCTTCTTGGACCCCAAGGAAAAGGATTGTAGTATTTTCTCTACTCTTTTCATTCGCTCCCAATCCAATCTTCAAGGATATACCAGAATACCTCCATAGTTAAAAACAAAACAAAACAAGACTGAGTGCCCTGTCAATATACAATTCCTCTTCATAATCATTCGCTATTAATTTATAATAAATAATCTAGTAGGCTCCTCTTTGAGGCAGAATTCTCTTCTGATTTACAGTGGTGTCCTACCAGGTAACATACAGGGAGAGCTCATCCAGTAGTTATTGAGCTGATCACATTGGTTGCTATGAGGAGTCACAGTTCAGAGGTTGAACTGCCAAGGGATAAGGGTAGGGAGGACATGCATCTCCTGAGAATGGAACCTTGGGTGATTGTTTGTCTAGTCCCTTTGTGAAGGTCAATTATATCATTTAGGTACTCAGATCTTGGAGTAGTATGAGAAGGCTGAAAAATGAGGACTCAGATGGCTCTTACTTGCTGGGGACTAGATTGTGCCCTCTCAATCTGGTTGAGGCCATAAGCATCAATGTGTGGGTGCTTGGGGATAAGGCCGTGGGGAGATAGTTAGCTTTAAATAAGGTCATAAGGATGGCGTCCTCATAAGAAAAGAAATCAGGCAGCTTGCTTCTCATCTCCCTACCACATGAAGAGGCCACCTACACAGCACAAAGAAAGCCCTTATTAGGAGGTGACCATGTTGAAGCTTTGATCTTGGACCCGAAGCCTCCAGAACTATAAGATAATGAAATTTGGTAGTCTATTTAATGTATGGTGCTTTGTTTTGATAGCTCAATTATTAATGCAGTAACACATTATTTGAAGTTAGATAACCAGGAATTTCTTAAATTTAAATATTAAGAGCAAGAATGAAACTTTCCTGAGAAATTACTACCTGCATGGAAATTTGCTAGATTTTTGAGGATACAAAGATTCTAGATATCATTCTTCCCTAATATCAACTTAAAATTATAAAATTTGTATTTATTTATTTTGCATGCACATGTGTGTATGTGGGGTGGGGTATGGGTGTACCACATACCCCTTGTGTTGTGTTGTGGTCAGAGGGCAACTTGTAAGAATTGGTTCCCACCTTCCATTATGTGGGTCCCAGGGGTTGAACTCAGGTTTGGCAGGCTTGGAGGCAAGTGCCTTTACCTAATGAGCCATCTGACCCAAAGTCTACTTTTAAAGAAGAAGTCATGTGCTTTTGGACTGAATTCTGGATTCCTCTCCAGTGCTTCCCCTAGTCTCCTTTCCTGGTCCCTGATGAAGGTAAGAGGTCATTTTCCATGCTCTCCAGGCCTCAGCCTTCTGCAGCACTAGCCCTATAATTATAGCTGTCTGTCTGTTGTTTATATGATGAGCCTTGGACCGATCATTTGTGGTGATTCTTGACAAATAACAGGTACACAGTTGTTGCTTGCTGAGTTAGTACTCTTAAGTGTTTCAATCTGAAATCTGGTATATCACTTATTAGCTCTATAACCAAGTTTCTTGCTCTACTAGTTCAATGAAATCATACCATAGTTTCCTTGTGAGAATAAACAAGTTCACACATATCTAACTGAATAGATCCTGACTGTTCACTGGATGATACAACCACTAGTATGATTATTCTAAGTCCCTGCTTTGTATAATGCATTCTACAAAATGTTTGGAGAGATTGGAAGAAGCTTCTACACAGACACATAAAGTATGGTTCCTGATGTGAAGTATTTATAATCTAATACAGCCATGAGGCAAGTATGAACTATTTAGAGAGAAAATATTCATAGACAAGTTCAAATACGAATAATCAAATCACGATATCAATATGATGTATTATTTAAACCATTTATATTATAAATTGTGGTTCATAAGTTATTGATTCCCTGTTGTTACTTTTTATTTAACTCATTCTCTTTCCTCTCTTCTCTCATTCCCTTTTTCTAAGGCAGGATTTAAACAAAGCTACTCATCAAAGACAGACTTTCCTTTCTTTTAGCAAACTCCTCTTGACTGTGCGTCACTCAGTCCCCGCGCATCACTTTTGATGAAATGAGCTGGCTCAGATCACAGAGGACGGTGTGGGAGAGCGCCCTGATGCACAGGATCACAGTGGTCCAGAAAAGAGAAAACAAGGCTGAAGGCGAAGACAGTTGATTCACCCTCAGCTCCACCAGCTGACTAGCTGCACAGCTTGTGGCAAATAGTTTTCTTTGTTTCCTCCTGTGTAAAACGATGATCTTCAAGATTCAGTTCAGCCCCATTTTATGAGTGTGAGTGAGCTCTGGGAAGGCAAGGTTACTTTAGTGAGAGTAGAGAGCAAGCTAACATTGTTATAGCAACGAGGAAGCCTTCAGGGGTTCGGTCACACGCTTCAAAGTAATAATTCCAATAATTCAGTTATTTCTCCCTCTTTGCCTTTCACCAGCAACAGCCAAGAAGTATATTACTAGGCATGTTCAGAAATCTGTCCCTCTGGCCGACACATAATGATAACACTGACGGTGACATCCCTGAAGTGGGTGTTTCTACTCCCAGAGGAGTTGAGGCTCTCCATGAAGAAGAGCACAGAAGAGAACTTCTGCCTGAGTCACCAACAGTACATGCTGTACATGTAGCAGGGCTCATGGCTGAGTCACCAGTCAATAAGAGTATTGCCCTGGGGCAATGTTTGCAGTTATTGAGAATTTGAACTTTTTACTAATAGAGTCTTCATTAACGACAACAATTCAAACGATTATGCGTGGTGAAAAATATTAGTTGCTCATTGATCACATTGCAACACATTCGATTGTTTTCATGGCAGCCTCTTGACCAGGATTTTGCCTGTGTGCACTGTGGAGAAACAGCCTTCCTTGTCTTCCTCCAGAGCAGGCTCTATTGCTTCTGTAGATACCAACAGAGTCCTCATACAGTATGTGATGCCACCAGAATGAGCAGAAAGGCCATATGAGGTCACAAGATACTGAGCTCTTGAGATAGACAATGCTTCACTTAATCCTGCATTATCTTCATCACCATCGTTTCTTGACTCAGACTCTGTTTTGCATTAGAACTGTCTGGAATTGTCTTACTTCTGTTATTAGATTTTGAATTCTTGAAGGTTAGGATCACAGTCTGATGGGTCGGTCCCTAGCTCCTTGTCCTTAACAGTTGCATAAAGATATTTGTTGAATGTATCATGGAAAAAAATTTGTGTAGTGCTCCCGAGTTATCATAGGTGGGAGACCTGGGTTTCTTTTTTCTTTTTTCATTTTTCTTTATTAAGAAATTTTCTACTAACTCCACATACTATCCACAGATCCCCCTTCCTCCCTCCTCCCACCCCCCAGCCCTCTTTCCCAAGCCTGCATCCCCACATCCCCCAAATCGAGGTCTCCCATGGGGAGTCAGCAGAGCCCAGCATACTGAGCCTAGGCAGGTCCAAGCCCCTTCCCACTGCACCAAGGCTGTGCCAGGTGTCACACCACAGGCACCAGATTCCAGAATCCTGCCCATAGACCAGGGACAGATCCTGATCCCCTTGCCTGGGTGCCCCCCAAACAGTTCGAGCCAAACAACCATCTTCCATATCCAGAGGGCCTAGTCCAGTCCCATGGGGGCTTCACAGCCACCAGTCCACAGTTCATCGGCCTCCACTAGTGTGGCTGGTCATCTCTGCACATCTTCCCATCATGATCTCGACGTCCTTCGCCTGCAGTATCTCTCCTCTCTCTCATCAATTGGATTCCTGGAGCTCAGCCTGGTGCCTGGCCATGGATCTCTGTATCTGCCTCCATCAGTCACTGGACAAAGGCTCTATGATGACAGCTAGGTTATTTGCTAGGCTGGTCACCAGATTAGACCGATTCAGGCACCCTCTGGACCACTGCCAGCAGACCAAGGTGGGGTCAACCTTGTGGATTCCTGAGAGCCTCCCCAGCACCCTGCCTCTTCCTATTCCCATGATGTCCTCATCTATCATGGAGACCTGGGTTTTTATGCTTGGAACATCCAAATGAGGTGCTTAATTCTTAAAATAATAAATGAAGACAATATTATGTTAAAAAATTGTGGTAGTCAAAAAATAATGCTTAGAAAATATAAAGGTTTTTTGTTATTGTTGTTGGTTTTTGTAAGTTCCCAGTCATGGGTTTTTTTTTTTTTTTGTCGTTTGTTTTGTTAGGTTGGTTTTTGAGCCAGGGTTTCTCTGTGTAGCCCAGGCTGTCATGGAATTTGCTCTGTAGACCAGGCTGGCCTCGAACTCATGGAGATCCACCTGCCTCTGCCTCTGGGATTAAAGGTGTGTGCCACCACCAACCTGTAAACACCCAGTCTTGGGGGGTATTTGTTTGTTTTACATGTTGTTTGTTTGTTTCCTGAAGAACTCCTGTTTTTCCCAAGCTCATCAAGTGTCCTAGTACACTCAACCCAGGCAGCTGTGCTGAGCAAAACAGCCCTCGTACGTACGTGTGGAGTCAGCAGCAGCACATGCAGTGTAGAGGCTCACGGCTGAGCCACTCATCAACAAGGGTATTGTCCCAAGGAGGGGATGTTTGCGGTTACTGAGAATTTGCATTTTCCACCATTAGAGTCTCCACATCTGGGGGAATTCATTAAGCCATGCATGCTGGAAAGCGCTCGCTGCTTGTCAGTCATGCTGCTTGACATTTGCTGGTTTTCATGAGAGCTCAAACCCCATACTTTATCGTATTTCTGAGCTGTAGTTGAGCATTTTATACTATGAATAACACTGAGGTTAATGGTGTCAACGCCTTTATCTACAACAGTAAAGTCATATGATTCCTGGAACTTTCCCAAAATATTTTTCCCTAGAATTGATTACAAAGCTAAGCTTACAAAGAATTCTAAAACTGATATGCATAAAATTTTGCTTTTTTTTTTTTGTGTGTGTGTGAGCACAAAGAGGTGGTTAAGATTAATGTGTCATTCATGTTTTAGAAGTCAACTCCTTTTGCCAGCTACTTGAATACTGCTCAGTCAAAGGGTTTGTGCTTGATAGGATGCAAGGCTAATATTTTTATCTGGCTGCAGACATGCCTTGATGGGGCAGAATCTAGTCTGATTCTCAGACATTGCTTTAGCTTGGATCTGGAATGTTCCTCTTGAGGGCAGTTTGTACTGCTATTGAGAACTGGTGAACGCTTTGGGAGGTGGGGCCCAGTAGGAAGAAATGAGGTCGTTAAGAGAATGCCTTTGAAAGAGATACTGAGAACATGGTCCTTCCTGTTTCTCTCTGCTTCCTAGTAAACTGGATACTTCTGTCATGTTTCCTGGCCGTGACGGTCTGCCTCTTCATAGGCCTACAGTAATAGAGCCAAATCACCGGGACTGAAACTTCTGAAAGTGTGAGCTGAAATAAAACTTCCCTCCGTTTAAACTGATCGCTTCAGGTATTTTGCCAATTAATGGAATTCAGATGAACACTGTATGCTCAACGTGCCATCTACCAGACAATGTGGTTGTCACTGGAGCCCCTCCACTTCCTTGTGGCTTGTCGTCTAGGCTTGGAAGTGTACCCATTTCTACCAAAGATGAGAAGCCAAGACAGTTACCAACTCAGGAAGAGGCTACAGAGGTTAAGAAATCATGATGCAATTTTCTTTCTAGAAAGTACCTAGGTCTAGCATTTGTTCCTCCAGACCTTTCCATATACCTCCTTTTGTTGTCTCTCAAATTCATGGTCTCTTTTTTCACTAATTGTTGTTACATGCATATATGTCTATACATACATATTTATAACTATAACCTGCTCAGTCTAAGTAATGTTACTCATATGGATTTTAGAGGGCTGACCATTTGGTATTGGAGAACCAGTTGGTATGATCATCTCCAGAGAAGATGATTTCTCCCACTCCCAGCATCCCCTAGTTGGCTGTAGTTCTCCGTGTAGGGTTGAGGCCTTGGGAACTTTCCCTCATGCCCTCTGGCATGTCTATTATTGTCCTTGTTCATGTTGAGGCAGTCACGTTGGTGAGGCTTTATGGGTGTAGCTTCTGACATTACTAAGAGACACATCTCACAGCAAACTCCCTGGTCCTCTGGGTCTTACAACCTTTCCACCTTCTCTTCCTCAATGTTCCCTGAGCTTAGGTGAGGGACTGTTATATAGATATATCCACTGACGCTAGGCTCCACAACTCTGTTTTTTGACTTTGTAGTTTTCTGTAATGGGCTTCATCTTTGCAAAGAGAATTTCCTTGATAAAAAGTGAGGACTAATCCTGTCTATTAGTACAAGGACAAATGTTTAGGATGTAGTTTAGAGATTATGTTGTTTTAGAGAAGCAGTGGTTGTAGGTTCTGCTCAAGGATTCATGACTTCACTAGCCTTGAAGGAAGGCTTGTTAAAGTGTGCCGTCACACCTCGAAGCTGAAGTGAAAGGAATAGACAACGTTTAAATCATTCTAGAAAGTTATTTCTGGACATAAACCACAAAGAGAGTCCTGTGAGAAACCCAGAGTTATCTATGATGGGAGCTGTCCTCTTACCTCCAGTCACAATTACGTTCGCTTTCACGCAGTAGCAGAAAGTGTTGGCTCCTCTAGGCATGGCAAATTCTCTGACAGGCCTGGAAGACAAAATTAGATGCGAACTGTTAATTGCAGCTTAGAAATAGATTATGTTTAATGGGCTCATTTCTAAATTGCTTATAAATCTATTTGTCCATAGTGACTATGATAAGTAATGGCAGAATATTCTCCGAGCCACAGAATCTCTATGTTCCCTGTTTTAGTTTGGGTATTTCCCAAAGGCCCATGGGCTAAAGACTTAGCCCTAAGATGTGGTACATTGAGAGGTAGTGGAACCTGTAAAAGGCAAGGCCTAATACCTGAGGTTGGGGTGTCTAAATCCTCTTCCTTGCTTTGCTTCATGACTGCCATGAGGTAAGTGAACAGTTTACTCCACCATGCACCGTCTTCCCCCACAAACCCCGCCACCATGATGTGGTAGCAGGAGTAACAGGGCCAAGTCATCAGGGACTGAAACTTTGAAACTTGTGAGCCATAATAACCCATTTTTCTTTTATATCGATTGATCTCTTATGACAGCAATGGAAGACAGACTGAATATTTAAAAATGTAAAGACCGTTCTTAGTTTCCTGATGCTGCGAATACTGCTGGCCCACTGGATTTGGTCCTTGGGTCATTATTTTCTGAGTCGTGCTTGAGATATGGGAACATGAAGCCCAAAGCCATGCAGGGCTATGATAGTATTCAATTTTGTCTTTAAAAATGTTTTTTAGTACCTTAGTTCTCAGGTTAACAAGAAAAAGGAATGTAAATCTATTGAGTACTCAGAGCTCCAGGCATCAAACCAGGCACTTCACAACAGTTCATTTAAATGTAAACATTTATGAAGTCTGTAAACATCTTTATTCCCATTCGTGGATGGGAAAACTGAGGCTAAGTTGTACAAATAGTCATAGGCTAGGTGCGGGGACAGAAACTGGTATTGTACCACTCCATAGGAAATTTATGGAACGCCGCTGTCATCTCTCCACTGTAATATTCTGCCTCTAAGTCGAGCAGCTAAGAAAAGGTAAGGCTAAGCAGTTGCTTGCTCACCTGTGGGAAACTGTCAAGCTGTGACCGAGTTAGAGGCTCAGCTTGTACGCTACAACAGGACAGCATGCTATGTGGCAATTAATTGCAGACATTCATCAGCTTCCTGGTACATGGCTCTAATTCTGAAAAGTCTGCACAAAATTTTATGCTAATCATTTCTGAAATTAAAATTTCTGGAGAGTTCCCTTTCCTGCCTTTTTGGGAGATGTGCTGGCTCCTATTTTAACAGCTGACCAATTATGTATTTGTATAAATACGGTTTCATCTGAAGACTCATTATAGGAAGTTGCAGAAATAGGAATATGGTGCATTAGGAGTGGAGGAAACCAACTGTGCCCTTATGATGGCTCTCCAGGGGCCATGGTCGTCCAGGAAAACAGGATCACAAGTATCACTTGAGAAATCTCTTCAGTGTCTAAATTTAGAAAGAGTGGCCCAGGAGAGAGAGAGAAAGAGAAGAGTAAGCAGCTGAGAGGTTCCTGGAGCATCGGATGGACAAAGGAGCACTGTTTGCTGAGGTTGTCTGAATATTTTTATCTCCCTGACTCCTGATTCTAGCTGTAATCAGCAAAGATGTAATTACTACCTACCAAATTCCAAGAGAGACAGTAAATAGTGGGAAGTCCAGGATTCATCTGGAAGACAGACTCCTGACTATTGTGAAATAGACATTCTTTGCAGCAAACACCACAACGCACCAGGTGGTTGGAGGGTGAAACCTTCCAGATCATCTGTTTGTGACTTTTAAGGACCAGGTCTGTGGGATATTATGCAGCATAGGAATTTAAGTTTCCTGCAACAGATTGTGTTTGTGTTTGTGTGCCCATGCGTGTGTGTGTGTGTGTGTGTGTGTGTGTGTGTGTGTGTGTGTGTGTGTGAATGGAATGGAAAATGAGGGTAAAAAATAAAATAAGAACATGAAAATATTACTAAATCAATTCTTTTCATAAGGTTTTCACATACTCCTGTGCCACACACAAAACACACTATTAATTTTGCTTGGAATCCTGCTAGCTATATGGTAATATTTTCTCTGACAAAGCATCAACATCTGAGATAAAAGACCCTCTGTCTCTGGATCTTTGTAAAAGCCAGTCCTCCATTCATGAAGATCTCTACTTAAGCAATGATCTCCTATGAATAGCCATCAAAACACTGCCTCCCACTACCCTCCACCGCGCATGCTACTTCATTTCAGTTAACTCATATTGTTTGTTTATTGTCTGCCTTTCCCACTAGAGCATGAACTCGATGATAACAGAATTAGTCTTTTTTAAGTATTTCTTTTATTTTTGAGATTATAATATAATCTGATCATTTCTCCCTTTTCTCTCCTTCCTCCAAACCCTCTCCATATAACCCTTTTGCTCTTTTTTCAAATTCATGGCCTATTTTTACACTAATTGTCATTACATACATTTATATATATATATATACATACATTGTATATATATATGTGTGTGTATATATATACATACACACACACACACACACACAAAAATATTTCTAAATACAACCTGTTCAGTCTGTACAATGTTATTTGTCTGTATGTTTTGGGGCCTGACCATTTGGTATTGGATAACCAGTTGATGTCCTTGTCCCCAGGGAGTATTATTTCTCCTATTCTCAGCATCCTTTAGCTCTTGGTATAGGCTTGAGGCCGCATGGGCTTTCCTCCCTCAACTTTGACATGGTTATTGGTATCTTTCTTGTTTGGCTCATGTTTAGGCAGTCATGTTGGTGAGGCTTCATGGGTTCTGACATTCCTAGGAGAAACAATCTCACAGGAAATTTTCTGATCCTCTGGCTCTTAATCATTCTGCATCCTCTTCTGCAATGTTCCCTGAGCCTTAGGTGTGAGAGTTGTTTTATAGATATATCCATTGAGACTGGGCTCCACAATTTGATTGGTTGTGATTTTTTTTTTTCTGTGATGATTTCTGTTTGTTGCAAAAAGAACTTTTTCCTTGATGAAAGGTGAGGACTATACCTACCTGTGGGTATAAGGACAGATATTTAGAAGTTAGGGGGTTTGCTGGCTTAGTAAGGTGGTGGCTGTAGGTTCTTTTCCAAGATCCATGACTTTGCTAGCCCTGGGTATTTTAGCTGGGTTTCCAGTACTGGGTGTGGTTTTGTTCCTGTTGAGTGACTTTTAAGTTAAAGAGCTGTGGTTATTGTCACAGTATTTTGCATTCTTAGGGTTATACCATTGCACTCTTAGGGTTCTAGTACCATTGCTGGTCATTGCTGTAGTTCATAGGTATCATAGCTGGGTAAGAATGTTACTCGATTCTCTCCTTTGGAAGCTTGCACAGCACCTGCTGGTACCCTGAAAGCTGTTCCTCAGGGAGGAAGCTTACGGGTCAGTTTTAGTTCAGAGGCATCTGGGCTCCGTTTCTGCACTGCACGGTGTCTTCAGCAATAGGGACTTACCTTCCACCTGTGGGGTGACCAAGGACACCAGCAAGCCACAGCCTGCAGTGTTTTTTGTATCATTAGTGCTTGCAATTGGGCACGGTCTATAAGAGACATACAGTAAATGGTAAGGATTTAGAAAATAAAATAGATCTCTCCCATTTATTCCTTTTATCCTGTGGGTTATCAGTTCTGAAGAATGATGAAAAAAAAAAAACCTGTTCTCTCCTTACCTCCTTCCACTGGTTAAAATCAAATCCTTATCATTTATTTTTAAATTTCCATATCTTTCTCAGTTGATCTTCCATTGTCCACCTGCCTTTTTCTAACCCATTCTCTAATTTGAGGATAGGGTGACCTTAAAAAGTGATTCTCTCTCCTCTCTCCTCTCCTCTCTCTCTCTCTCTCTCCCTCTCTCTCTCTCTCTCTCTCCTCTGTGTTTAGGGGTGGTCTTCCCATAGCTTTGAGTCTCAGATTCTACCTCTGGCACAATTTACAGGGGTTTTCTATATGGGAATACAGAGAGTTGCTTTTGCTCAGGATGTTTGCCACTGCAACAGAAATGGAACTAGAACGTGAAGTATTTTATTTCTACAATATGCTGTTCTCATTGACAACAGGGAACAACCCTGTATACTCAGAATATCCTAAAGATGTTCTTTAAGAAGGAAGCAATGGGATAGCTCATTACTCTAGATCCAAATACAATGGGTTTGTTTGGGCTGCTGTAACTTTTCTTGTTGATAAAATTATGGCTATATATATTCATCTATTCATTATTTCATTCTAGTTCATGCTGGAAGAAATCTTAACCTCTCTGGGATTTGCAAAAATCTAGCACTTAACATTTCCATTTCTGAACTTTTGTGTGTATTCCTAAACCATGCCGTTGTCCTGAACACACTGCTTGGCATTGATGGTTATCTACCTATGTGCTGGTGTGCCTGTGTGCTGGTAAACATTTACTTTACACCTGGAGCCAAAGTTAGTACAGAGCTAATCCTTACTAGTGTTTGCAGGTCTCCATAAAATATTTTGTTCCCACCATGGCTAATTCCACACTACCAATGGGATAGCCTTGCGTACTAGTTGGTAAAAGATACAGAACTATATAACATCGTATAGTATTTATATTTTCTAGAGATGGAAAAAATATCAAGAAGTTAATTGTAAGTTATAGTAAAATAAATGGGAGGCAATAGGTTGGGTTTGGGATTTGTCTTACCTTTGTTTTTAATATAATTGGGTTGCAAATTTGCATCATATAACCTTTAGCCATGGCGGTGTTTGATGAAGGCTTGCTAAATTCCTGAACTCTCAGCTGATGAGAGCTAGGTCTATAGAATACCCTGGATCTCATGTCCATAGTTGGTTCTTCACTTAGATCTTAAGTAAGCAGAGGCCATGACTTAAACATGTTGACTAAATACTTGTTGAATGTTGGCTATATTTCTGGTTTAAAGACTGACCTACAGGATCACTGCATGCCTCTGGCTACCACATCACTTGTTATAAATATCCTTGAAGAGTCCTGTAATTATCAGCAATATTACCATTGTGGCTCCAAATTTGGTCTCCTTGGAAATGAAAATTAGATGAGGTCAAGTACATCTTCCACAGGACCACAAGGGCCTGTTATGGTTCCATGTGTGTAGGGAGAGAAGGAAATCTTGAGTGAGTGGACTGAGTGAATGTGCATTTTGACACAGGCATGGCCTGTTGAGGATTCCAAGACCAATTGGCCCATGGGAAATGGGCAAAACCATTACACATATGGCCCAGAATAAAAAGAAGTGGCAAAGTGACTTTTCTTGGGAGTCCATGTATGAGTACTTATGAATGATCAGTGTGTGCAAAACTAGCAAAGGCAGTTTCCTCCTCCTGGATGTTTACAGCCTAAGACTGTAAACATCTACAGAGACCCCTACCAAGACTAGCGAATCCCTCTTCATGTGCTGTAACTAATAAACATGCTAAGGTTCCAGATTGTGGTGGTAATATTAGAGAAGCCTACCTGATCCCAACTTTGTTGTGCATGTGCCTATATGCTGGTCCTGTCTTCACTCCCTCACCACCCTTAGCCAGGGTCCCAGGACCCAAGTCCTGTGGGTCGAGGCACATATGCTTCACAATGCACAGCCCTGGTTGTTCCCCATGCTATGGCCATGCTGTGAATTGTCAGAATAGGATAAAATCACATTGGATATACAGCTGCACCTATTTATTAATTAGTTTGTGTTTCAGAAATGTACTTCTGTAAAACACCAGCAGACACTCATTAGCAGTTAATTATGTTACAGAAACTAAATAAAACTCTATAATTAATTGCATCATATAAATGACATTTGTGGAACGTGAGCCAGTGTCAGGGAGTGAAATTGTTTTTAACATGCCATGAAGCTTTTAAATTCATTTCTCAGTGTGATAACATTATAAACCAAAATAAACATTTTTAGCTTCTAAGTAATGAATACAAAATGTGAGTCTTTCATGAAGTCTACAATTATTTTTTTACAGAAAATATAAGGTCATCAGTCATCTGAGAGATATGATAGTCTATTCTATTAAATTTCTAATTCTTTTTCCTTTACTGAAACTTAGCTTAGAGAATGTTTTTGTTTGTATTTTGTGTTTTGGCTTGCCTTTTCCACCTATTATGTGTATGTTAATTTTATTTATATTTATTAATACATACACATATATTAAGCACGTATATTAAGAAGGTGTTTCTTGTAAGCAATATATATATATATTTGGTTCTTGTTTTTTATCATCAGATAATCTCCATGTCTCAGCTGTGGCATTTAATATTGACAGTTGAAGTGATTGCTAATATTAGATTTGTATCTACTATGTTAATTACTTTCTATTTATTGCCTTTATAGTTCGTTCCTATTTTTGTATTCCATTCTTTTTCTACCTTTTAGTTTGTTTGTGTTCACTGAGCATCTTATGTGTTTGCACTTTTTATGCTTTCAATCTTTGTTTAGTTTAATTTCTGTATTTATGAATGTTTGCACTTCTGTGTCTGGCTCATTTCTCATCATTAAGGTTTATGATTTTTGTTTTGTTTCTTTGAATATCAACTATTTCCTGCTAGTCCCATCCTTCCTCTTCTTCCTAAGGTTGCCCTGGAGTTTGTGACATACAAAGTCCACGGATTTACAGAAGTATAAGTAATTTATAATAACAAAACAATACTAATTTCCTCTCTAATCCCTTATTTATTGCTCCCATTGTTGTGTAACTTATGTACAAGCATATATATGTGCACATGCTCAAAGATGTTGTTGACATCTTTGCTGTTGACAAAGATGTTGTGACAGATGCTAATTGATAACGTCAATTTAAATGAAGAAAATAAAGTCTTTTTTTAACCTTCATTTTTTTCTTCCTTTCATTCTTTTCCCTCTTATGTACACGAATTTCTCACCCAGGTCATGTTCTTGCTTTGAAGAACCTCTCATAGGATTCCTGGTAAGCAGGCCTGCTCACAACAAAGTCTTTTGACTTTTGTTTGTCTGAGAAACTTTTAATTCTATTATTTATTTATTTATTTATTTATTTATTTATTTATTTATTTATTTATTTATTTATTTATTTATTAGCTAAGGTCTCCTGTATTCCAGCTTGACCTGAAGTTGGCTGGTAGCCAAGCATCACTTTGAACTACTGGTCCTCCTACCAAAAGTGCTGGGATTGCAGAAATGCCTCCTACTACACTTGGAGTTCTTAATATTTGAGGAATGATTTTAAAAGTAAAGGGCACAGAATTCCAGGCTGGTTGTTTTTGTTTGGATAGTTTTGCTTTTCTCTTCTCAGCAATAAGTATTTCATGCTACTTTTTTGCTTGCATGATTTCTGGGAAATTGTGTTTGTGTGTGTGTGTGTGTGTGTGTGTGTGTGTGTGTGTGTGTGTGCTGTTCTTCCTTGCTTATAAGTTATTAGGAAATATTTAATTGGATCGAATATTAGGCAGACGTTACTCAAACTCACAAATTTAAAAATTAGGGGTGAAAAAACACCCCTAATAAAAGCCTTTCTCCAACTGCAGAAGGAAGGAAGGAAGGAAGGAAGGAAGGAAGGAAGGAAGGAAGGAAGGAACACAGTGTCCCACAGACTTACTCACAGGCCCATCATATCGGGGCATTTTCTCAGTTGAAGTTTCCTCTTCCCAAATGATTCTAATTTGTGTCAAGTTGACATGAAACTAGCCAGCATAAAACTTATTCAACACAGGTGCATCGTATGTTATATACCTGTGAAAATTATATGATACATTCACATAGTAAAAGCACCTCTCTCTGTCTGGCTGCTTATTGGAGAGTCTGCCTAACTCCTAGTCTGTGGGACACTTTCTTATTTTAGTTATTGATGTGGCAAGTGGTCCTGTGGTTGCATAAGAAAGCAGGCTGAGCAAGCTATGTGGAACAAACCAGTAAGCAGTGTTCCTCCACGGCCTCTGCATCCGTTTCTGCCTCCAGGTTCCTATCATTGCTTTCGGATGATGGATGCAAGCTGTAAGATTCAATAAACCCTTCCCACTGCAACTAGGGTTTGTCCTGATGTTTCTTCATAGCAATAGAAACCCTGACTAAGACAAGTTTCTGTACCTTAGAAATTTCCCATGTTCCTGTTGGAGATTTCCTCTCCTGTTATCAGCCTGAGACAACCAGGGATCTACATTTTGTCTCTAGAAATCTGTCCCTTGAGGCATGTCAAATAAACAGAGTTATACAATATACAGAATTCTTACCCAGCTTCTGTCCCTTAGAATGTTTTTGAAGTTTATCTGTTGTAGTAAATATCTTAAAGACTTTAAAAATTCAAATGCCATAGCTAGTTATTAGGAAATATTTAACCAGATTGAAAATGAGTCAGATATTACTCCAACTCACAGTTCTATAAGGACACTAGCTGGTGTGTTATGATAGATAAAATATGATTGGCTACGTACAGATCATAAGCCTAGTTTGCTGGCTACCTAAAATGATTCTGAAGTATAAACTTTTACCAATAAAAAAATGCTTAACATATAGATACAGGTCTATTGACTTTTTACAATGTACTAGACCAGTAAACAATTCTTTGTAGTGCTGGGAAGGGAACCCAGGGTCTCACAAATATCAGGCATATGCTGCAGCTCTGATCTATACCCCCAGGCACTACCAAATAGCCAGTGGGTACAACTGCTGTGAAGAGGGCATATCATATTTAGATTTATATGACTGACTTTCATTTTCCACAAAAGTCTCATTAGCCCTGCCAAACTAAGGAAACAGCTAATTTTTGATATTTCTGAAAACCACTCTGAACATTATAAGGTTGTGATGGACTTATCATTGTAAAAATGCTGAGAGTCCCAGAATGCTCATGTAGATACACTGTTGTACTTACATATTGTCCTCAAGTCTCTTCAAGGATTCCAAAACTAATGAATGGACACTGTCCAAGGAGCAGGATCCAAAGCAATTGAGAGCTGGAATGTATCTAATTTTCATAACCCAATCATTATGCAGCTTCCTTTTAACGCTGGGAATGAAAAGGGGGGGGGTGTTATGTTAGATACACATGCACTTTTTCCCTACTCAGCATTTCATTCAGTTTGAATCAAATTGTAACTCTGAACTGAGCTATGCCCGCAGGTACACTGTAGCCCTATGCACCACACCAGACATGCTGTGAAAAGAGGTTTAGCTGAGGAAGGAGGGACCACCATGAATGTGGGGGACACCATTCCATGGGCTGCAATCCAGGAATGAAAGCATAAATGTCAGCATTCGTCATCCTCTGTTCTTGACAGCAGACATGTGACAAGCTCACAATCCCGCCACCATGCATGCCTCATCATGATGGACCGTATCCCTTCTAAGCCCAGAGACAGAAAAGACCCTTCCTTCCTTAAGGGAACTTTCCAGGTATTTTGTTACAGTGACAAACAAAACAAAACAAAACAAAAAAAAACAACAAAAAAACAGCAAGAAACTAATGAGAAAAGAGTAATCTAGAAGGATCTCAGTGTAATATTGGCCATCTTATCCTTACTTTAATGAAAGAATTCTAAGCATTCACATATGATTGGCGTAAGATTCTGGGTATCACATGGCCTCTACTAGGACAACAGACACATTTGTAACTCTGGGTATCAATGTTGTGCAGCTTGGAAGGGGGCACAATAGAAGAGAGACTTTTGTGTTTTCCCATCCCAGATTTTGTTTAATTTTGAACTCTTGATATCGGCTAATTCTCTAATGTATACAATGTTCCATCTATCAGTGTTTTCTTTTGTCTTTGTTTTTCGAGACAGGGCTTCTCTGTGTAGCTTTGCGCCTTTCCTGGAACTCACTTTGTAGACCAGGCTGGCCTCGAACTCACAGAGATCCACTTGCCTCTGCCTCCTGAGTGCTGGAATTAAAGGCATGCGCCACCGCCGCCCGGCCTATCAGTGTTTTCTGGCCACATCCTTACTGACTCAAAATGAACAAATTCTGAGAATGTCAACTTTTATGGTGGTTATGAAATTTTACTATCCTTCTCGTCTTATAATTTTTCCTTCTAGCAGGTTTTAGGATCTCTTGGTGCAAGAAAATGCCTCAACACTCATCCTGTGTCTACACTTGAGTCTTAAAAGATTTAAATAGATGACACAATGACTGTCTGTGTGTAAATTATCCTCCTCAGGCAGTGGTAGGATCACATTCATTCAACCATATCTAGAATCCTCAAATCCCTCCTACTCCCCATTCCCCATTCTCAATCTGATATATCTATCTAATGGGAGGAGGAAATGACACTGGACTATGGACCTTTCTGACAAGTGGCCCACCTCTTAGTGGGGAAAAGGTTCTATTATCTGGGCCTATCTTGACTGAAATAAGGGGCCCATAGTGTACAGGGCAGCATGCCACACAGGGACTACACAACACAGCCTAGATAGATAGGGCAGGAAATGGAGCAGTCTTCCTGACTTTGTTATTCTTAGAGTTCCAGCAACAGGGCTAATCTTAATTCAACACAGCAACAATTACACTGAGGAATGGTCATGAACAGATGATTCGTGTGTACACACAGTACAAATAAATAAGTACTAAAATGATAATGTGTGTGTCTTTGTGTAGGTGCACGTGAGTGCAAGTGTCAACTGAGGCCAGAAGAGGGTGTCAGGTCCTCTGGAGCTGAAATTTCAAGCATCTGTGAGCTGTCCAACATAGACACTGGCAAACTGATCACGGTCCTCTGCAAGAGCAGCACATGCTCCTAACTACTGAGCCATCTCTTCAGCCCAGGAGAATTTTTGTTTTTAAATTAAACTCTGAGATCTATTAAGGAGTACCAACTCCTTGTTTCTCATATTTGTACATTTATTGCAGGCCATTTTACTTTTTAAATTTATTCTTTTAAGGTCTGAAAAACAATTTGGCAGATAGTCGAATCTATCAAATCATTTTCTTTAAAAATCTGTATCTATTGCTTTTATGTTTAGAAACTTTCTTATTTAATTTCCAGGAAGTAGTCATAAATACACAAAAGCATATATTTTGTAGCTTATTTCATGATGTCACTTTTTAGTTTAACTCAATCTATCACATACTTACAGATTTTAATGGCCAACAACACTTAAACGGAATATCAGTTGTTAATTATGCTTTCCTTATTGTCTTGGAAGTTTCTTAAGATGAGAAGCATATCCTCTTCTGTTTTTAAATTTACTGAAAGACAATCTTGCTATGTAGCACATGCTAGCCTGGAATTCCATACATAGTCTAGGCTAGTCTCAAACTCATGATTCCTCTGCCTTTCCCTCCCAGAGACTGGGATGACAGGTGTGTATCTCCAAGGCTAGATTAGACATTGCTTTGATTCTCAGAAGTACTGTGGGCTTTGCATCTCATTTCACTGTTTGTGTATAGAACTGAACAATGTCCATAATTGTTAGAGCAAAGGGAGTATTATTCATGTGATGTCCTTACCTTTTAAAATTCTTAGAGTCTAGGACCTGGGTTTGTAATTTCTTCTTTGTTTTTGCCTGCCTTAATCCGAAGTCATCGCTGTTTACAGTGAACCTGTTCACAAACCCACCATCATCCCCCAGGAGGATGTCATCCCTGCAGAGCTGGTCAGGGAGGGGCACCACGCACACACACAGCAGGCAGTGGTCCATGGGCTTGATGACAAAATAGTGCTCCTGGAAGCATAGGAATGTTGTGAATTAGTTACGTGCTAACTGACCCACACTGTTGGGGTTTTAACTCAGTAGCAAGTAGTAGAGCACCTGTTCAGCATGCATGAGGTGCTGAGTTCCATCTCCAGTGTCATACACACACACACACACACACACACACACACACACACACACACACACACACACACACACACGGGGGGGGGGGGGGCGTGTTGGAGAGCAGATAAAGAAAAAAATCTTCATTATTAATGTTTTTTTCTGTGCTGTTTCTCATATTAGATCCAACAGTGATACAGGAATTTGGAAAATCTAGGCAAAAATTAACCAAATAAAAGTCAAAGCTGTGAGCCCAGCTCAGTGTTTTGGCTGTTCCTTGGGGTAAGAAAGAGTACTCTCTGTGGCTGGGTGACTATGGGATCTTAGGAGTTGCCTTCTCTTTGTATAGAAATACTGAACTGGCTTCAAACTCCCTAAGTGTTCTAGAGAAATCTTAAACCCCTGATACCCCCCACCCCCACATCTCTCCCTCCCAAGAGCTGGGATTCCAGGTATGTTATCACCGTGCCTGGTTTATGGAATCCTGGAGGCTGAACTCAAAGAGTCTCATCCATGCTAGGCAATGCTCTTGAATTTTATACAGAATTATCAGGAGAAAAGTATTCTAACATCCGAGTGTATCCATAAATATCCAACAAGGACTTGTAAGCTGATTCTGTACTATTAAATGGGTTCCCTAAGCTAGGCAGCTATTGTTGGTTTTCCAGAACTCATTGTCCTAAGATAGAAGAAAAGTAGGTTCAAAATTTTGTTATTGGTCACATTTCCTTAGAATGAGTGAGAGTTTATATAGTTAGAGGTTCCCTGAGCCACTAACTAATGAGCAGTGAGCACTAACCGGGTGCCAAACATTGCTCCAGGCATGGCTGTACTAGATGAGCTCAAAAAAGCTTCTCACTCTGTGGAAGCTACCCTGCATGAAGGGAAGACAGAGTAAGATGGAGCACATATTAGGCCAGAGCTCTGGACAGATGAGGCTCCTTTATGTTCCACAGGCAGAGGTGGTAGTGGGGTAGGGTAGGGGTTGACCTAAACTGGTGGAAAGAAAGATAAAGAGGAAGTAGAGGGGAAGGAGGTCCAGATTAGACTAATGTAAAAAGGGCAGAGAGGGGGAGAAACTGTGGAGCCTTGTCTCTACAAGACAGGAGATGGGGGTGTTAGATACACGGGTGTTCAGACAGGGACAGAGGGAGGGAGGGAAGGGGAGGGGAGAAGAGAAGCAAGCAGAGGAAGCGAGGACCCAGCAAGAGAGTGGACCTGAGGAGAATAGGGAAATGGTGGAGTACTGTGAGGAATATGAGGACAAGCTGGTGAGGACAAGCTGACGAGGCCATGAAGAAGGTTAGCAGGAACCCAGGAACCACAGACAGCTCAGCTGAACCTGCGGGTTCTGTTCTGTGATGATGTCCTGTGGTTTGTGTCTCCCCAGCCGGGCTCAGCCACTGTGTGCCAAGGAAAGGGCAGCAATGTCTTTCCAAGTTGAAGTTTACAGCTGGAAGCCAGCAGGGGGCAAAGGTGGCCTTGGTGCCCAGATGTCCCACCTGGGGTGCAGTCAGGAAGGAGGGAATCATGAGGGCCCAGAGATAAAGAAGAGGCTCCTCTGAGTTAAAAATCACTTGTGCAAACAGGAGAGCCTGAACAAGAAGAGCACAAAGTCCAGAGCCTGGGGTTCAGCATTCTGAGACATGGGCTTCTGAGTTGGCTGCAATCCTCTGAGACTTTATAAAGTATGCTCTTCCTGAGGATGCTGGGCTGGGGAGAAAGGCTCTGCATGTGATAACAAGCGTAACGGAAAAGATGATGCTTGGATTTGTAGAAGGATATAAAAGAGCGGACGAGTTTGATGTGGTGGCAGGAGGAGGGATGAGTACCAGTCAAGAGCAGACTGAGTGGTATGGGGAGACGGCTGCTCAATCTCAGAAAACAACCTAATACTAAAATCCAGTAGCAACAGCAGAAACTGAAAGAATTACCTTTTCCCTCTCAAAACTGAAAGCAAAACGAGACCTGAATGAAACACTTAAAGGAAACTGCATTCCGCTTTCATTACCGGGTATTGATGCTGGACTCCATCTAAAGTGGTTACTTAGTTACTTCTCTCGTGGTAATCATTACACAGTGGCTGGGCTCCTATCCTTACAGGGATTGAACAGGCAGTCTCGTTTCTTTGTACCATCTCTCTTGGTACAGTACCTGGCTGTTCCCTTGAGCTTTATAATCCCAGACGATAATGGTCCTCTCTGTGGTGGCAACGATTCGCTTTAGCTGGCCCAAGTAATCGCAGCCCGTAATCCAGGAGGTATCCTGACAGAAAAGCATAGAGTTGGAGGCTCTAAGGCTAAGGATAATGCCCAAGTGGTAGAGCACTTGCCCAGCATGCACCAGGCCCTAGGTTTAGTCTCCAGTACCATAAGATAGAGGGGATTGGGAATCACAATGCTTTTCTCTCTACCTCGAGGTGCTGGAGAGCAGGAAGCAGGTTATTGACATTAGAAATCCCACGTGGCAGCGGAGCCTACAGTGCATCTTCTTGGAGTGGCATAAGGAAAGGAAAAGGCTCCCTCCAATCTGCCTTGTTTCTCAGGACCACTAGCTGGAGACTGAGTTAGTGTGGGAATTCCTCCTTAGAAGAGCAGGGCCGCCGGGCGAGCATTTGAACTGTTCACATCAGTGAGACCATTTATTTACATGTGCAGCTAGAATCAGGGCTCTGATTAAGCAAGTGCTCCACCCTGTTGCCTGCTAACACTTTCATCTGGAAAAACCCTTAGTCATCAGTGATCTAGCTGATCATAAGCTGAGACCTACTGCTCTTTCTTGGGGCTGAACTCAAGCTTGGAAGTTTTTAACAGCATCAGCAGAAACGGCAGCCTGGATTGCCTGGAGTGTCAGAAACTTGTGTGCACGTGAATCTTCCCTAAACCCACCAAGAATCCAACGGGTTTGTTCCATTACAGAAATGGAGGCTGAGAAGTTTAACAAGAACCGGACTTTTTTTTTATCGGGTACTCTGTCATCTCTTGGTAGTTTAGTGAATTCATTGCATCCATGCAAACAGGGATAAAACAAAACAAAAAAAACCCCAAACCTCCAGCATTCCCCTCTCTCTCATAAATCTGCAGGGTGGGGGCTGGGAGTGGCTCAGAAAACTAACCCCCGTAGCTTTTCATCTCATGCAATAAGAATGACAAAATTGCACTCAAATTTTTTATGGCATTTTTTCAAGCTGAAAATGTTCTCAGATTATTTCCGTGTTGTTCTCATAACTTGGGGTATCAATTTTTTAAAACAATGTTTAATTAAAACTCAGAAGCTTTTAATTAAAGTCCAAAGAAGTAACTAATTTCCCAGCAATTCTCTGCGGATAACTGAGCTCCAGGAAGTAACCCTCGGGTCTTTGCTATTATTCAAGGCTTAGTTTTGAGCCTAGTCAATAAACGTAAAATTCGCCATCTTCAAATATCATTTTTAAAAAGTTTTACAAATCTTTGCGTAGGGTGTGTGTTTGTGTGTGTGTGTGTGTATCCTGATGCTCATGTGGAAGACACAGAACAGCCTCGAGTGTCAGTCCTGACCTTCCTTCTTGTTGGAGAGACAGTCTCTTATTTGACACTGCATATACCAGCCTAGCTGATCTGAAAGCTTCCTGGAGTTTTCCTGTTTCCACCTCCCATCTTATCCTCTTATAAGCACGGGGTAACAGATACACACTATGGTGTCCAGATTTACAGGTGTCCTGGGGATTCAAACTCAAGACCTCATACTCACATAGTGATCACGTCGCCTGCCCCCCCCCCCCCGAGTCATCTCTCCAACCCTTCACATGCAGTGCCTGTTTAAGCAGGCACTTCATTGAGATGTTTTGAGGAACTGCGGAAGAACCATCACTGCAGCCCTAACCTTGACTTCAGAATCCTTTAATGTACTTACTGTAACATTGGTGCTGGTCTGAACTCTCATCTGTGAGTAAAGATGAAATGGAGTTAGAATCTTCAGTAAGAATAAGAAAGCTGTGGTTACACACAATCCCTCTAGTTTGCTCCCCTTTGTCATCTTACTTGCTGAGAGAATTTTCTCCTGACTTCTTCCTCAGATTCACCTAACTCTGTGAAGTAACACAACTCGGTTTGCAGAGAGCAAGACTTCCACCTCTATGGTTGGTGCTTAGCCAAGGTGACTCTCCTCTTGATATTATTATTATTGTTATTATTATTATTATATTATTATTATTTTGTTCCTTCCACATGCAAAAACCTCTCTCTCTCTCTCTCTTTTTTTTTTAGCTATTCAGAGCAACATTTGTTATCGAAAGTTAGAAATGCAAAATAGCACAGTAAAGACACTCCCAGAGTGCCAAATAGAGCAATAGCAGCAGAGGGACAATGTAGAAAACCACAGCATGCTTCGTCTGAGAGACTTCTCTTCAAGTTACTTGATATCTTTAAAACATTCTGTCTAGTGGCCCTCTACAGAAGCATCCATTAATGGTGTCCTGGGCACTGGGCTAAGGGTCATAGATATGACCTGTGCAGAGAACTAGTAGGTAGCAGTGTCTCTCACCCCTCTCACCTACTGCTCTGGATAAGATCTGGGACCTGGAGACATTAAATATCACACCCAGCTATGTCTGTAGTAAGCTAGACAGCAGAATCTGTCCACAAACCCCAAAGCCACAGACTCTGGCCACATGCCCAAAGCCACAGACTCTGGCCACACACCCAATGTCCGGTACCCACATGGCCCTTCCCTAACAATTTCATTGCCCTAGCTGTGATCTTCTGGAGAACTCCCTGAGTTGAGTGTTACTGAAGGACTAAAACTGACTTTGGAAATGATTATTTCAATTACAGTTTTCTTATACAATAAGAGCCCATCATTGTCTTCAGTTAAAAATGAACTTTGAATCTTTACTCTGTGTATTTAAGAGCAAGAATGCATATTTCCTTTTCACATTGAAGAACATAGGACACACCACCACACATTCTTTTGAAATATTTATGTTTCTACTTCATCACTGAATTTGATCATCATATTATCCATTTATCCCAATGTGAAGACATGATGCCCATGAAGTTCCTTATTCAACATCACAGAAAACCAGAGACATCTTAGACATTTCATCTACACCAAGTCCACTATCCTCATAGCATCTTCTATTACTTGGCTGGCATGTGTTTAAAGTTTTATCTGGGAAATTATCCAGATCAACCCTTTACATGTTGGATGCCACATGATTCACTATGACACTCTTGAGAAACAATACCAAATGCAGCCATCAAACCTCAGCAATCACCTCAGGGCTCAGTGATCCTCATATTTTTTTTTTTTTTTGTAAATAATACTGAAATGTTGTTGTGTTTTCTGAAGCATTTGGATAATGCATAGATAAAACACAAGAAGAGAAAAGGGGAGGGAGATAGCAAGATTTCAAATTACCTGACTGTTAAAGACTGTTATCAATCCTTTCTGAGATGCCGTTATCAATAAATCCAACTGTGGGACCTTCACAATGCATTTGATCACATCTCGTCTTCTACTGCCTGTAAAAAGCATGCGATTAGTGTCAACTTCCAGAAGTCCTAAAATTCATTTGTTATTGGTCTAAAACAAGAAAAAGGAAGAAAAGGAAAGCAGCCAGCATTTTACTAGAAGCCCCGAGTTACTTGAAACTTAGAATAAAGCCATTAAAAAAAAGTGCAACTACTGCTCGGTTTTTAATTATCCTTAGAGATATAATATGAATATAGAATATTTCAGCTAAATATGGTGCATGAGTTCCAAAGCAACTTGCAACTCCACACTCTGACACCCACCCACACCCCTCACAGCGTGTGCGCGCGCACACACACACACACACACACACACACACACACACACACACCCCACTATGGGCACATTTCACAGATAATGGGGTTTCTAAGCATCATTTGGAATCATTTCTCCTTTGAGGTTTTTCACATCTCTTAGCGGTCTTTTCTTTGAAGTGTCACCATCGTGGCAGACACAGACTAAAGTCCCAACACTCTCTCAGGCTTTCCATTATAAAATAATCAAACTGCTTTAATGCTATTTTAAGACTTCTAAAAACATTTTGCGCATCTGGGGAAATAACACTAGATACTTTGATGCTTCCGTGCCCACCCACAGGCAGAAGGACAAAGCTGTATACATAATCCTTCTCAGGTCGAGTTAACTTTTGTTTGCTTGGATTTTAGTTTGGTGTGTAGCCCAGGCTTTCCTCCTGCCTTAATGTCCCCAGTGCTGGGATTACAGGTGTATACCACCACAGTCTGCTCATGGTGATGTAATTTTTTATCATTGCAAACACTTAGAGAAGAACGGACATGAACAGACTCTGTATTCCATTCAGCAGGGGGACACATAAGAGCAAATAACAGATGAGCCTGGGGAGCTGTGTCCCTTTCTTCACTGCAGTGTCTCCAGCATTCAGGTCCCTGACACGCACCATAGATGCTGTTCCAATTGAGCTGCGTCCCCACTCCGAGGTGCACTTGTTAAAGGAACACCACACAGGAAGAGGCTCTAGGCTTTATCTCTTCCGACCCTTTCCCACCCTGGGTGAACGAACAGGGAAGAAAACCCAGTGTCAAGGGTGCAGAAGGATGGAAGTACTCAAGTCCCAGGACAACAACAACAAAAGATGACCCCTGGAAACTGGGAAGGTCCTGAGATGAGCTAATGCCTGTCCATGACCGGCGGCTCAAACTCAGTTTCAGAGAAACTGTCTGCGGAAGAATCAAGGATAGCAGGTTGGGAGGAGCTTCACTTGGGAACGCTTTGAGAATATTGTAAAGACACACAGTTCCTTCTGGTGCCACTGGGACACGTGCCGATAGGATGTCATCAGAGAGACTTAACCAGAGGTCTGAGCCTCTTCACATGACTTCTTTCCATGATCACATTTGGTAGCATCTTTCAGAGTGAGGGTGACCTTCCAGTTTCAACTACAGATAGTTTCTCTGGAAACTGAACCCAAACTGCTACTGATGAGGAACTGAGCGAGGACATGAAATAAAAGGTGATTCTTTGGAAATAGTATGTTCCCAGAGCTCAGTTTTGAGAAAAAATATTAATATTCATACTAACTGGGAAAGGAAATGTAAAAGTCACCTGAAATCACAATTCGCTGTTTTCTGGACACAAGGAAAACCAAATTTTCTTCATCCAGCTGCGAAGCAAGAGGATCTTCTTCAGAGGAGAAATAGCCGAAGATCTAAAATCGCAAACAGAGTAAACACAAACAGTGTCTCAGAGCTGGCTGTCAAGTAAGAACAGATTCTGCATCGGCTGGATTCAAAGTCTGAGGGAGATGAAATGCACCTTGTTTTCTGATGTCAGAGTAGAGAGTCCCCCGGGAATAAGGGACACTTGGACATTCAACACACTTTACACTGATGATGAGTGATTTCCGGGGAGAGACTGACATCTTTTCCGTGGAGCAACCATGCACCAAGTTGGTATCCTTACTCAGAATGAACACTCTATTATCATCTTACCCTTGTTCAAAAATAAAGTCAACCTTCATCGGACAGGGCCTCAGCTATGCACGTTCACCATGAATGACTATTCCTAACCATCCTCTATCAATCTTACTGGGTCAGATTTTTCATCCTGGCAGAGGGAAGTTTCAGAATATAAAGGATTTTAGATTCTTTTGATTAGCTGCCCACTTTCCAGCGTTGATTGAAAATCAGCTACTTTGTTATAAGAAGATATTATGAGTATAAAAAGTGATCTTGAGGTTGGGGATTTAGCTCAGTGGTAGAGCACTCGCCTAGCAAGTGCAAGGCCCTGGGTTCGGTCCTCAGCTCCGACAAAAAGAAAAAAAAGTGATCTTTTCAAATAAATTATTAAATTATGGAAGTTTTAAAATCAGAGGCCCTTGAAAAAATGTTAGCAGCTGTAAGCCAGGCACTGTAACACAAACCTGTAAGCTCAGTTATTGAAAGGTTGAGGTAAGATGTTTGAGGCCAGTTTGAAGCCAGCCTGGACAACACAGGAAAAGTCTATCTCAAAACCCACCAGCAACAAAATAACTCCTATTAACTTATTAATGGGCAGAAATAAATTTTCTTACCCATTAATGAGAATTTTCAAAGAAATTAGGAATTTTGAATTTTTTTTTTTTTGTGTGTGTGTGTGTATGCGTGCATGTGCTTGTCATTATCAGTGTCTTTTTCTAGCTCTATTTTCTGAGACAGCATCTCTTACTGAGGCTGGAGCTCACCCATCCAGCTCTGGACAAAGAGCTCTGGGGATCCACCTGCTTCTGCCCAGCCAGCACTGGGCTGACTGCATGCTCTGCGGCTGTGCTGACTTCGGTGTGGATGCTGCAGACTCTGAGGTCAAGTCTTCATGCTTGGGCAGAAAGCACTTTACCCAGTGAGCCATCTCCCCAGCCCCACCACTTACCTTCCCACATTACCTTTTTTTTTTCTAATGCTACCAAAACAAATGGTCACAAACCTGACTTTAAAAGCCTCTTTGTAAACCATAGTTTCATCGATTTTAATCCAAAATGGGTCTCAGCAGGCTCGAATTGAAGAGATGTAGAAATGTGTGTTTACTGGAGTCTTCGGGAAGAATCAGTTTTCCATCATTCAGGCTTGTCGGCATGAGGTTCATCTGCCTATTTCCTGTCGGCTGACACTGCCTAGATTCCAGGGATTTCTATTCAGTCCAAGACCTAAGTCCATCCTTGTCAGCAACAGCAGCAGAGTTCCAAGTCACTTTCCTGTTTGGGATCCTTCCCCTCCCTATCTTGTTTTGAAGTACTTTGAAGCGCTTAGATAATCTAGGATAATGCCCCCATATTAAGCTCCACTGGTCAGTCCCTTAAAGCCATCAGCAAATTCCCTTCACAATTACCTAGGATGGTGACTGATTGTACAACTGGAGACCAGGACTCTTGGGAAGGAGGGCACTTTTATATGCCCTTATTTTATATGCACTCTTCAGCACAATTAATAAATGTTTGGCAGTCCGTGTAACCTAAGAGAGTGGTGTGAAATGATAACGTTCAGGTCAGAAAGTGAAATGACAATGAGGACCATGATTCCTCAGCTCCCTGTTGAAGAAGTTCCAGTATTTCTCGAGGTAGGAGAATTCTACACGGTCCTGCTAATTCTAAACCAGGCGCCATGTTTACAGCTACCTCAAATAGTTTACACACAGCCATTCACCCTGATTTCTCATTTCTGCAGAATCATCGTGGAGATGGTGACAGTGTGTCTGATCAGTGTCTGAGAAGAGATGTGTAAAGAGGTGTGGCAGCAATGCCCCCCTGCAGGCAGATTTACACACTTCGGGATTTGGACTGGGTTCAAATCCTCATTCTATTGTCAGCTAGTCACATGATCTCAAGCCAGTGTCAGGAGTTCTCTGTGCCTGAAATTTCCCCATCTGGAAAATGATCACCAGGATATGAGGATGTGGATAATTATATTTCTTAGTAATTAGAAAGAGTATAATGTACTTGGATTATACCAAGCGCCGGATAGGAACTCAGTTGATGTCAACATGTGAGGAATGGGGCCCTAGGTTTCTGGGAACAGTATAGGAAATAGAACTTAGGTTCCTTTAACTCCTTGCCAGTTAAAAATCATCCAGTAAGCACCTTTCCTGTCTGAGCAGACATGTCAGTCATGCATTTTATCATACATATCCCTTGGAGTCATAGCCATGTGGGTGTACATGCTACATCTGCTCCTGCCAAAATTACCAATTTCGACAAGATATGCAAGAAGTAGAAAGGTGACCCGTTGAGAAGAAGATGGGGATTAGAGAAAGTGGGAGGGGGCAAGAGACAGTAATGGTAGAGTGAATATGATCTAAATACACTATAAAAATGTGAGAAACGTCATAATGAAACCAACCATTATGTATTATTAATATATGCTAATACAATTTTTAAAAAGCTGATTGATTTTGCTACTTTCACTTATAACAAACACTTTATCACATTGCTTAATAACTTCTCAAGGAAACCAAGTGCATCAAATAATTGAAAATTATTCAGGAAAATTTTTTGATATAGTAGGTAATCAGAAGAGGTGGCAAAGCTGATTTTGAAAGGTTATATTTCAAGGAGAAAAATTTATGATCAAAGGGAAACATACATCTCTTGTCATCTTACGATAAACAGTAGCCTCAAGAATCTCTAGTTTCTTTCTTGAAAATTTAAATTTTAAGCTAGAAACTGTAACATGATTTAAGCACATTGCCGGCCTGAGTACTTTATGACTCTCAAATATATTATAACAAACAACATTAATATTCTTTTTTTTTTTTTTTTTTTTTTTTTTTTGGTTTTTCGAGACAGGGTTTCTCTGTGTAGCTTTGCGCCTTTCCTGGTACTCGCTTTGGAGACCAGGCTGGCCTCGAACTCACAGAGATCTGCCTGCCTCTGCCTCCCGAGTGCTGGGATTAAAGGCATGCGCCACCACCGCCCGGCCAACATTAATATTCTTTTAACAATGCAATTTCCAGAGATTCCCCATACTTCCAGAAATTTAAAAAAAATTTGATTACTTAAGGAACATATGTTCAGTGTAGAACATATGGAGAAAATGAAAAGCAGGTAGATCGAATAAAAACTTGCATGTAGCTTATTTTTTAATCTACTGTAGAACATTCTTTTAACATTTTGAAGTTAGCAAATACAGTTTTAACTTTATAATAATTCACTTTAAGTTTACCTTGGGGGCCATGATTGGCATCCTATGTGATATATTATGACTCGAGTTTGAATTAGTTCACAGTGTGCTCCTAAAAATCTGTTTCTGTGTTCCTCTCTTGGTTTCCTTTCCTGTCGCTATGATAAAATATTCTGAGGAAGCCATTGAAGAGAGAAGGGGCTTGTTTTGTCTTATGTCTCCAGCAGTATATAGTCTGTCATGGTGACGGAGATATGACAATGGGCAGGGAAGCGGGTGCTAAGAGCACCAAGCCAGCTGGTCACCTTGCATCCAAACTCAGAAACGCAGACACTAAACAAGAAGCTGGGCTAGGCTAAAAAACACAAGACTCCCCACCCCCTTTTCAGAGACTCCCTTCCTCTCCGAAGTCCACAACCTTCTCAACAGTCCCACCCTGTGAGGATCAAGACATTTCATATACAAACTACAACAGCTGCCTGCTAGCAACACAGACTAATGTGGTGGTGTTTAAAATGTAGACCAGGTCTTTTCACTGATTAGCTTTGTAAGTGTAAGGCAATCCCACCATTCACATTTCTTTACATCTAGTTTTTCTCATCATATATTGCAGGGGCCGATCTAGATTATGTTTCCATTAGTTCTAAGATTTCACTAGTCTAATAGTATAAAAATCTCCAAGTGCACTTGCATCTAAATCTCAGGAAAAGAAATTGTAACTTTTTTATAGCATTGCTGTGACAAAAAGATTTATATTTTGGAATCAGATTGTGCAATTTTGCCTGATCTTTAAAGAATGAATCCAACTCATATGGCCTGATCAATGACTATTAACTGAAAGACACTTTATAAAAACCAGGTGATCAGTATTGAAATGAAGTGAGTCTATTGGTTAGTATTGAATTTCCATTTTACAGATGACAGATCAGAAGCCCAGAAAGATTAGGTTGCAGTACTCTGAATAGCAACACCCCTTGAGGGGCGATGACTCACATGGTTACTGAGAAAATGGTAGTGCAATGGAGGCTGAGCATCCTGCATAGATTCCTCGAGCGTCAGCCAACTTCTGCATGCATCAAGTGCATTAGAGGCTGCTCATAGGCTGGTCTGTCAAAGCTATAAGGTTTATAGGAAGTCAAAAGATGGGACAGGATAATGGCATCTGGAATTGCAGACGGAAACCAAAGCCCACTTTCTATGTGGCTTTAGATAAGTCAGTTACCGGTCTGGGTTTCTCTGTTCTCAACCTCACTATGGCAGGAGCATGGTTTCCTACAACCTGCATGTGGATCTGTTGTGAGGACTAAATGGGAACCTGGGATTTATGAAAACGAGAAGAGATTTTAGGAATGTAAGAAGATTGTGTAAGACTAGAAGGGGCAAATGTCACAGAAAAGGAGACTCAAATTCCTCCCCTACACAACTGAAAAGAAAATGCTGATTTACTTTACAATCACACTCCATTACACTCAGAGATTCTCTGTTTCTACCAGCTAGCACTATGTCTTATCACTCGGCATATATGGAACCTAAGAGTCCTGGGTCTCTTTACAGTATGTGATTTGAAGCTGTATTACTAAGACAGCAGTGTTGGTCAGTAAAAATGTAAAACAAATGCTTCGTGCTAATATATAATAAAGAAGTCTGTTGATATTGTTTTAGGTGCTTAGTTTCAGAGACTCAGGGATGTGGGAGTAGATCTGGGAGGATTTAGGGGAGGAGTGAATATGATCAAACTACATTGCATATAGTTTTCAAAGAATTCATAAAAATTACATAAAAAACAAGGTGCTACCCCAAAATACAAAGTTGGAGTCTTCTAACATATGTGGCTGGACAAGGTTCTTCGTCTTTCCATTGTGTGCCAGTAAAAGCCTGACCTTGATAGTCAGGAAGAATTCATTCTGTTCCTATTTTGACATTTTTTGTGATGTCCAATAGAATTCTAAGCAATATATATAACGTTAAATCTTACAGCAGCTACATGAAACAGAGTAAAAATTAAATCAACTTTGTGTATTTTATTTAACTCAGCATATTGAAAATATAATTTCAACATATAATCAATATCAAAAGTCACTGTGAAATGCTTTGCATCTTTTTATAGAATACTTTTGAAATTGTATGTATTTTACACTCACAGTACATCTTAACTCAGACAAATCACACTTCCAACATTTGACAGCCCCGTGTGGCAAAGGGCAGCTATTCAACATGCAGGTCTAGAGCATCTAAGGGTTCATTTCCCAGATGGTATCTTTCCTATCAGAGCTCTTTTATCATGCAGTTTTATTATATCGTACACTCACTGAAGATGAGCCGAATGTTTCCCATTCTTATTCTGAATGTCCTGATGTAGGTATGTGGTTGTGCCAGAACCATCCAGGCAGAGAGCACATGCACACCTCAGCCCACCTGTGCTCAGTGGACTGGGTCTCTTGTCCTTGGTAATATATGAAAGGTGCTTTGAAGTTTCATTCAATGTATCCTGAGCTGAATTCACTGTGATTTTAGCAATATCAATAATCATGAATAGTGGGTTACAGAAAGACAGAACATCACTGCACAAAATTCAGTTAATGAAGCTGAAATCTTTACCAATTAATCAATCAATCTCCAATTTCAAGACATCTTGGAAACTTGGCCACAAACACAGGATGAAAAAGTCTACAGTGTGGCCTCTGCAATGTCATTCCCAGGAAAAGGAGAGGTGGAGAGGGGAGGTGAGAGGAGAGAAGAAAGAGAGGGGAGGGGAACTTGACCATCAGAATTCTTCATTTTTGATACTTGAGCTTTATGGTATGGTTTGCATTCCTTCCCATTTCTATTTTCTGCTAGATTATGTATTCTCATATATTCTCTAGGCATATCAACCTCTGCATGTAGCTGTATGCAACCAAGGATAGCTATAAATGCAGCCCCACACAAAACTGTAAACTTACTTCGACCATGAGAATTTTCCTGCCATTTTTTGTAACCCCACTGTGCCCTAAGCTTTATAGATGATAGCGTTGTCTCTACATGTCAAAAGGTTGGACACGTCTGAACTGTTTCAGTTGGAATCACAATGTCAAAGTATATTCTGGGTATATAAGCTCAGGGCCTAGTGCTTGCCTAGTGGGTACTTTACTCACTGAGCCTTCTCCTCACCCCTCATATTTCTACTGGACAGCACAGAGAATGTCAACGTATAAAAAGAACTAATTGTTCCTGATCATCAAGGACAGAGTTTTTACCTGCAAATAACAGAAAAAGCAAGAGACCTTTTGATGTCACAGCTGAGCAAAGAACTAAGTTAAATTTATATTTCAATTCTTAAAAAAAAAAGAAAACTGAACGTACTTTGGGAATTTACAGCATGGCAGAATCTTTACATTAGACTGTAGCTAGCCAAGCTTTGTAGGTAAGACTGTAGTGAGCCAAGCTTTGTAGGTATTCCAGAGTAGTCCGTGGGAAAGTCTCCCAATCTGTACAATTTGTTACATGGTCATTAAGGATAGATACAAATTTTCTCACTAGTGTTTTGAATATTTTAATGTAGCTATCTGGTTCTGCCTAAGCCTTCTAAGCCGGGTTGAGTACCTGAAACCTGTTCAACCTTTGCTTAATAGGTCAAGAGTATTTATAAGAATGAGGAAAAAAGAAGTAAGATGCATTGAAACTCAGTTACTAGAATGTTGGGATATAGTTTGTTTGGACAGCAAGGGTGTAAATCCTGTCAACAACCTGCAAACTTACACTCATTCTTTCCTAAAGGGTCCTCCAGATTCGACCACAGCCTAGCTAACTGCTGACTGCAGCTTTAGGAGACTTTGAGGATTTCCTAGGACCATTTCCCAGATTCCTTGTCAATGGAAACTATGACATAATGTATGATTTTTTTAAATTGCTAAATGTATAGTCATTTGTTCTAGACACACAAGGGAGAGAAAAAGAAAAAAAATTTAAAAAAGCTCCTTTTTCAATTAATTCCCTTTAAATTTTTACTCTGTTTTGTCATCCTTTTTAAAAGTAGGGGCAGCTACTGGATTTTTTGTTATCAATTATCGTCTTCCTTTTTAATTAATTTAATTAATCTTAAAGATTAGGAGTCAGCAACCTTCAGAGAAGGGACCAGATAGTAAATAGTGAAGGTTCATAGACCATTAGCTGTCTGTCAAGGCTAATGTGTCTGTCACTAGCCTATGTCAGGATCACCTGTAGAGTGTGTGCAAGTGTTTGGGCCTCGCTGTGCCCAATGAACTGACTATAAAATCTGCATGTGTCCAGCTACGACCATAACTTTAGTTTTGTTGTCCTCTATTAGCATTGCTTCCCCCCTTAAATAGTTGAAAGAAATCTGTGGCTTTTCTAATATTAAACCATCCCCACTTTTCTACTCAAAAATTTTCTAGTGTACTCCTGGAATTAACTTTTTTTTTTTTTTTCGAGACAGGGTTTCTCTGTGTAGCTTTGCACCTTTCCTGGAACTCGCTTTGTAGACTAGGCTAGCCTCGAACTCACAGAGATCCCTCCTGCCTCTGCCTCCCGAGTGCTGGGATTAAAGGCGTGTGCCACCACCGCCTGGTTGGAATTAACTTTTAAATGTTATCTAACACTTTAGCATCTCTGTTCATAAGCAATATTTGCCTTCTGGTTTCTTTGTTCAACTCTGCTATTTTAGCCTCATAAAATGATTTGGATAGCTGATCAGTTTTTAGCATATTAGTAGAATATTCATAGGAATTATATTCTCCAAAGAGTTATAGAAGCTTTTCGTCTGTAATTTTTCCTAAAGTTTAATAGTAATTTTTGCTTTGGCTGGTTTTGGGATTTGTGCTGTCTTATATTATAAGCTTCTAAATTTTATTTCATTGGGTTATTGATCTGCTTTTTAAAACAAAACATATGGTCAATTTTGTGATGGTCTATATGTAGTTAAACACAAGACAGATCTTTCATAAGTCTGGCATTCATCAAAATTCCATTTACAATGTCTGTCGGATTGTTGCAGCTGCCTTGGCAGGAGAGGAGACAGTCAAAAGGGACACTGTGCCCCTCCCTTCGGCTATCAGACTATTGAAACAACTGATCATGAAGAGAGAAATTTCCCAGGAATCCTACTCTGGGGACAGGAAAAAGCTGGACCCCTGGTGCCAACCATAGGCACCTGCCTCCCAGGAAGATTCCACAGTTCGAGTAACTTGTTGGACCACCTCACAGGACAGATGGGGCTTAGACAGTCGTAGGCTGGACCATACCTTGGTTAGAACTGCTTCGTTATAAGTCCCTCTTGCCTTCTTTGGAGACTTAAACTTCTTATCAATACCCCCACAGACTTGGGGGGAATCTCTGGACCCCTTTAGTCCTCTTTCTAGTGTGGCCACTGTGAATAAAGCTCCTTTCTCTGTTTTTCATAAGCAACTGTCTCTTCAACTGACAGGTTGGGGATGGGTAGTTGACCATAGGTTCTTAGGGCTGCTAGAAGCCAGGCTTTGATGCCAGCAACTCTGGTAACTTCGTTAAACGTGACAGTCAAATACTCGAAACCACCATGTTTCCTCTTGTCTATGATATCTACTCTTTGCTGAGAGTGAGCCAGATGTTTTAATGACTTGCGTGTTTGTAATTTTTGCATCAATATCCTGCCAATCAGAAAACATTTCAAGACCTGACAGAAGAGAACAATTGAACTAACCTCTTATGCCGATGAGTTGAGCACCCTGAAAATGTACAAATACTACTGACGCCACTGAAAAGAAATGCTTCATTGTCAGATGCAACAGAAGCACTTAAAATCTTGATTGTTGTTAAGTGGCACTGACAGTTCAAGTGGCTAGATTCATTTAAAAGACTTAAAAGTTACTCATTGAGACCAAGCCATGGTTGAGCAGGCCTTTAATCTCAGCACTTGTGAGGCAGAGGCAGGAAACCCTCTATGAGTTCAAGGCCAGCCTGGTCTACATAGTGAGTGCTAAGTCAGCTGGGGCTACACAGTGAGACTCTGTCTAAAAACAAAGAAAAAAGGTATTCATGGATACTATGGCTGATTAGTCGGCTGTTTTCTCCACATTCTTGTGGGCTATGGCTAAGTCTTAACGGCTGTAGATACAGTAATAATCTGTGTACACATTGCATATTTTGCTTTGGTGGGAGTCACATTGTTTTAATTGCTTGCTCTGGACAAAGTCAAATAAGACCTGGGCTCCAAATTATGTGCACGCCAAGCAAGTACCTCACACCAGTCGAAAGATGCATCAGGGTTGTTGCAGAGTTTCCTGTAAAAACATTTCACATCTTGATTTTTCACTTCAGGGCCAAAGAGCTGCTGCACTGTGGCATAAAACTTCTCGTAATCGATTGCCTCTGCAGTGGGGAAAGGACAGTAACATTTCCATCACATTCCAAGGGCAGAGCTTCACACTTCATGTACATTTCCCACCCTATGGTCTCCTCTCAGCTTATAAAACCAACCATAATGGTACCTTAAAGATCCTGTCTTTGGGAAAATAACTAGGCCTTGGCTAGAATATTATTCAACCAAAATAAATCATTTTTTATTTTGGTATTCAGGATTCTCTTCTGTTTCAGCTATTTTAGAAATCCTGTGCATGAATACAAAGATAAAAATATTACTTTTTTCTTACTGTGAACACATTTACCAGTTGGAATCTTTCTTAGAATTTATCTTAGATCTGGGCACAGAGCAATTATTGGTTATCTGATATTATGTAAATGCACACAGATAGACACACAGACAGAGACAGACAGACAGACACACACACACACACACACACACACACACGCACACGCACACGCACACGCACACACACACACACACACCATTACTTGAATCTTGATTTTTGCCAAGTTTTTGATGCATTTGGGTGGGATTACTAAATCTCAAGTCAAGAAAGAGTTAAATAACAGGATTCATCAAACTATATAGACAAAATCCTGTTACCTTATTTAACTAACAAAAACATATATTGAGTAATAGTCTAGCTTAATTATGTGTCTGCACTTAGCTAAACATCGGACATATAATGGAAAACTATATAGGCAATGTTTACTGACATTTCCAGACCAGAGAGAGAGAGAGAGAGAGAGAGAGAGAGAGAGAGAGAGAGAGAGAGAGAACTACATTAAACAATCTGTAAGACTCAAAGCAGCTTTATTGTCAGAACCTAGAAACAACTTAGATGTCCTTCAACCAAGGAATGGATAAAGAAAATGTGGTACATTTATACGATGGAGTATTATTCTGCTGTTAAAAACAAAGATGCCAGGAAATTTGAAGGCAAATGGATGGAACTAGAAAGAAATCATCCTGAGTGAGGTAACCCAGACCAAGAAAGACAAACTTGGTATGTATGTACTCACTCATAAGTGGATATTAGCTCTAAAGTAAAGGATAACTATGCTACAATCCACAGACCCAGAGAGACTAGGTAACAAGGAGAGTTCATAGGGGGATGTCTGGATCTCCCTGGGAAGGGGAAATAGAAGAGATTTAGTGAGTGGCCTGAGGGCAGGGGTGGGTGGGAACATGAGTGGTCAAGTTGTGGGGAGACAGAGCAGGAGAGTACTAAAAGAGACTACTGGAAAGAGGGGGCATTTTGGGGTCAGGTAAAAACCTTGGCACAAGGGAATCTCCTAGGAATCTTCAAGGATGACCTCAGCTAAGGCTCCTAGCAATAGCAGATACATAGCCTGAACTGGCCATCTCCTGTGATTAAGTAATTATTTTAAAGACACATGTTCTATCTTAAATGCACCTGGATGGGGGACAGGGGTGGGACTAGGTCATGGGATGATCTAAATTCTATTAGGTCATTGGGGAGATCTAAGAGTAATGTAACCAGGACAAATCTCTGTAGTCTATCTACTTCACCTCCCTTGGAGGCAGACACCTCTTCATTGAAACATTCTTAACTTAGTAAAGAGTTAACCCTTATCTTCCAATATCTATTAATAAATACAAACATATTTGGATAGTATTAGCAGCTTGGTGCAAGTTAGGGTTACATCTTTTCTATCTCCTCAATCCTTAGACCTTGTCCCTCAGACACAGAAGGCCATTGTCCAGGTGATTAGATTTTATCTAATCTTAAGAACTCCAGGGAAAGGAACTTTGCACCCCAGATCTGGGTTTGCAAGCTTTGGAAAGAAAGCAAAGCTAACTTGTTTGTTTAACACATGTTTAAGGCACACCTCCTGACACCAGGTTTTGAGCTGGCCTTACCTTTGCAAACAAACCCTTCAAAACACTTACAAGCCAATGGTCAAGGAGGGAGTACATATCAATGTCAGCAAGCTAAATAAAGCAGGCAAACTCCCGGAGACAGCAATAAATGTAGAAAGAATGCTGAGGATGGCTTTGCTTGGGGGAAGTTTGGGAGTGTTGGCAGAGAGAGAGCACTCCGTTCTCTTGAAAAAGAAAGTAGAGACTGGAGAGTTGTTCAAATTGGGAGAATGACATATATAATATTAGTCATTCAAAGTACAGCAAAAGAAACAATTTGATAACTGTTGTTGTAAATAATAGCTCTTATCCCAAAGGGAATAAAAGCTTGTTTTTAGCTAGGTATAGGTGACTATAGCTTGGGATCTGATTCAAGTTGCCCTAAATAACATGTTCCAATGTGGAAGTGGTCAGCTTTCGTAGTCACAGAACAAAAGAAAGTCATAAATCGAGGCATTTTTCAAACACACGGGTGGGAATATCAAAGTGGGCAGAGCTTGGCTGCAGGCTTAGATGCCATCCGCTGACGTTCTTAGCTTTGGGTTGGGGAAAGTCAGTGCCCTGCTAATACAACCCAAAGGTTTTGTGTGATAGATGGAAGGATGCTGACTCAGAGGTGGGTGGTCAGCAAGTCAGTCACCCAGCCTTGTGGAATTTGTAACATAGATTTGCCTTTTTTCTTTCTTTGAGAAATTCAGTTCAGGACTGAGGATGCACTTCACTTGCTACAGTTTCAGTTCACAAAGTAAATAAGTAAACAATTTTTAAAACTGTGACCTATTTAGAAATGCTGGCAAGAGTCTGACAGGATTGAAGGTGCCAGAAGCTGACACTGGAAAGGTCGATTGAGGCATGACTGGTGAATGGCTCTGCACACCAAGTCAATCCGTATGGATTTTAAAGATGGGTTAGTAAATCAGGAATATGACAGACCCATTTGTTTTTTGTTTTTAAAGAAAAAAACCTCTGTAGAAATATACAGGAAGGAATAAGTCTTTGGCAGGAAGACTCACAGTAGGTGCTGTAATAACCTGAGAGACCTATCACGACGTACTCAAAGATACTAAGATACACGGCTTAGGAGACTGGGCGGCCAGCATTCATGCCTTAAGACTTGGGCAAGGACATACTAGGCAAAAACTCAGAAAGAAAGAAAGAAGAAAAAGCAGAATGAGAAATGTACAAAGGCAGAAGAGAGTGGCAAGGAGCCACACGGGAGGAGGAAGAGGCACTTCTCACAGCAGAGGCAGAGCCCAGTGTTAATGCTGCGGTGAAATGGTCGTGTTTGATGCAAAAGGGGGCAAACAAAGCCAGACATGGTGAAGCACACCTAGAACCCCCAGCACTGTAGAGGCTGGGATTAAAGGATATTGAGTTCCAGGCTAGCCTGGGCTACATAGTGAGAACCTCTTAAAGAAGAGAAGGAAAAGAAACTCAATTTACTGGATTTGGCAGCCATACTAGGTACTGAATATATTTTCAGCAAAATGAAGGAAGCATGACTGGAGTAGATGAGGAAAGAGACAGAGATGCTGGGGGAAATTTAGCAAAAAGTCAAAGAGGAGACATGGAGTGATAGTGTAAGGGAAGAGACAGTCAAGGCCATGATGCCAGGGTTTATTTTTAGATTCAAAGGACAAAGCCAGTGGGAAGAGAGATTTTTGAGATTGTTGCAGTGCATTGATAGTGGTGGAGAGGAGGGAGGATGGGTGTGGCTTTGGGAAGTATGGACCAGAAGAAAAGGGAGAGTGAGCAGATTCTGGACTTTGTACCTGGCTTTCTCCTGTGATAGGAAACTCGCCTGAGAGGAGCAGAAATCCCATCAAGGATTCGGAACCATGATGAGAGTTTGGAGAATCAATTATAGCAAGAGGAAAAGCAAGCTGCCTGCAGGGAATGAAAGCTTTGTTGAGCAGTTTAGAGGGCCCAGCCAAGACTGGAGATCTGGAGAACATCCTAAAACGACTGAGCCCTCCATTTAAGTGACATGGGCAAGTGACTGACCCCTCTCTACCGCCCATTGTCTTCCCAAGCAGAGCAGACTGAACAATAATATTATCTGTTCACATTGTCACACAAATCAAATGAACTTATGCTTATTCAACTGACCTGCAGATTAGCAAATACTGTTCAAGCAATACCTGTTTGAGTCTGAACAGTTGAGAGTTTCGATTACACATGACTGTACAACCCAGCACCTACAAGCTGTCTATGTAGTTGGTATATGGATCCTTCTTTTATTACAACAACTAGACTTATTCTGTTGGATTCATTTTATTGTTATATAGCTTTACTCTTCAATGTTGTCTTAACACTCCAACTATACAGCCTACTGCTCCTCTTGGCTAGGACACACTTTAAACTTTACCCTTCTTCTAAAACTCCTGAAAGACTACATCCTCCATATTCCCCTTCCTTCAGCACATTCAAATCACTCCTGCCTACCGAGTGTCCCAGACAGTGAGATCATAGTGAAACAGGAAACTTTGAGTTGTCTAGAAAAGTCCTTAAGGTCTCATGATGCTCTCAGATAAAGAGATGAGAGGGTGTCTACCTTGGCTTGGAAACAGTCCCTAAAGACTCATTTGTACTAAAAGCTTGGTCAACATACTTTAACATTATTGGGTAGAGAAGGAACCTTTTGAAGGCAGGGCTAGTGGAAGGAAGTTAAGATTATTTGGTATATGCCCTTGAAGGAGCTATTGGGACCCTGGTTTCTTCCTGTCTCTCCCAGCTGTCATAGATGTACTTACATTACATGGCCCCATCATAAGGTACTCTTACCATAGGCCTCATTGTAGCAGGCCATACGACCATATATGGGAACCTCCAAAATACTTTTTTCTTCTTGATTATTTAGGGCATTTTACAGTGCCCAAAAGCTGGGAAACACGGAGACACAGAAGGTCTCCCATGAGGTCGCTATGCTATACAGAGTCTCAGGTCAGCCAGTGACTGATAGTGTCTGCAGAAGAACCCCTTAATGCCATTTAATCTACTTTTCTATATTACAGATAGATAGAAAAGACTTCCTCAAATGCAGCTAGATACGTTAGAGACAGAGAAAGAATTCAGGGCCCCTGCCCCCATTCAGTGTCTTAGCTTTTAAACCAGACTACTTTTCTCTGATGACCTAAAGCATCTCCCAGTTCTAATCAGCAACTCCAGATGGACTTCCTTGTAATCACCCATCTTACCTTCTTTTGGGATAAACAAGCCTGCTCTTTCATCCTTTTTTTGGGCTGTTGTCTGTTCAACCAATTTATTGAACTCCACCAAGGCTGCTTTGAAATTGTTAATCTGCAGTGCAAGGCTGAACTCCTTGTCTTCTATGGAATCCATACAGACATAAGGACTCTCTTATTTCTGCACGGAAATAATGCGGCGAATTTGTCAATGTGGAAAAGCTTCTAGTTTTTACGATGCCACTCTGCTGTCTCAACTTTTGCCCTAGGTCTCATTCCTTTGATTTTAAATTCCCATTCCATGGGAATAAGGAGTAAGAGTTGCCCCTAGGATGTTAGCAGAAGGAAAGCTGAGGACTGCTGCATTTCAGAGAGACAGAGGGGTTAGTGGGGGTCCCTGACCTCATAATGTGAGCATTGTCCTTCATGTGGACCTAATTACATCACAGTATCTCTGTAAGTCCCGCAGCAGATTGAAATCCACCTCCTGCAGTGTGTGTGTGTGTGTGTGTGTGTGTGTGTGTGTGTGTGTGCGCGCGCATGCATTGAGAAGATGGATGGGTAAAGACCAATGACTTTCCTCGGAATGAATGTCTCTTCTCACTCAAAACCTCCTGTCTCCCTCATGGTACTAGGGAGGATAAAGTTCACATTTGTTCCTACAGTTCTCCTGGATATGGAAATTCTAATTTGTGAGGATGAAAATGTATTTCATCACCTGTCTTTTTTTTTTTTTTTTGGTTTTTCGAGACAGGGTTTCTCTGTGTAGCTTTGCGCCTTTCCTGGAACTCACTTGGTAGCCCAGGCTGGCCTCGAACTCACAGAGATCCGCCTGGCTCTGCCTCCCGAGTGCTGGGATTAAAGGCGTGCGCCACCACCGCCCGGCTTCATCACCTGTCTTATTTGGCACAAATAAAGATATTTTTAGAAGTTGTGTTTCTTTTCTCTTTATTCATTTACCTCGAATTAACATACTAAAAGGAGCCATGGATGAGGAAGGCATCCTTGTGGGGAGAGTTTTTCAAGAGGAGTCAGTTGAAGGAGAGGAGGCTTTCCGACTGTCTTTTCCTTCAATATATCTAATTCATCTAGTTCCACCAACTCCAACTGTTTACTTCTGACTCAAGTTTTCCAATCTCCCTCCCTCCCCCCTCTCTCCTTCTTGTGTGTGTGTGTGTGTGTGTGTGTGTGTGTGTGTGTGTGTGTATGTGTGTGTGCACATGTGTTTGCTGCTGTGGATGTGTTTGCTGGTATGTGTGCACAAGGAGGCCTAAAGATGCTGCTGGACATTTTCGTTAATCACTCTCCATCTTAATTTTTGATTTAGGATCTCTCCCTGAACCTGGAGCTGTATTCACTGTATTGGCTGGCCAACAAGTCTTAAGGATTCACCTGTCACTGCATGCTCAGCATTAGTATTACAGGTGTCTATCCCACTGTGCCTATCTTTTTATGTGGGCTCTGGGGATCTCCACTCAGGTCCTTATGCTTGTGCAGCAAATACTTTATCAACTGAGATAGCTCTCCAACTTTTTATAAGAGTCCTTTCGGTCTGCTCATCACCAGTTAACTTATGGAAGTTTAGGTGAGACAGATGAGGTCTCTTCCTTGGTAGTCTATCTTTTAAATCATCTTGTGAAATTCTGAGTTCAGAATTGAATCAAATGACATTAGGGGGGCACTTCGGTTTCAAGTACTAGGTGTCTATCCTTGGTATCCATCTCAGACTATGAGCTATTAGGGGAGTAAATCTCTATAAACACGTTACATAGAGGATCTCCTCACTGTTTATTCTTTCTTCGTTTTCTCCTTTAAAGCTCTCAAAATACTATTTGGTAACATCCAAGGACCCATCCTTCCTACATTTCTCATCCATGAATTCTTATATTCACCCACCCATTCATTCAGCAAGTACTTATAGAGCACCTACTTTATGCTAGGGGATGTTTTAGGCAGTAATGGTTCCATAGTGAGCAAAATAGTGTCTTGAACTTACAGCCTAACAGAGAAAACAGGCACATAGATAGTATGTCAGAAAGTGGTAAATGCTCTGAAGACAGAGTAAAGGTGGGTTACACTGGGGTGTACGAGAGAGCCCAGGGAAAAGAAATTATACTAACAAAAAGATATTTGGCAGAATCCTGCAGGGAAAGTAGCAAGCCATGTGGTTAAATGGCAAGAGGGTTCCAGGGAACCACAGGAATCATGTCCTGACATTAGCATGTACTTGACCCACCCAAGAAACAACAAAGACTCCAGCAGCAAAAAGATGTGTAGGAAGAGAAAGAGATCCACAGGGTGGTGGCCAGATCCAGGGAGACCACAGAGTTATTATAAAGACTTTGGCTTTTTCTCTGAGAGACATGGAAAGATCCTGAGCAGAACACTGCCACGTTCTGACTTGTACATGAAAAGGGTTCTTCCAGATATTTGTGAAAAATAAACCGAGAAAGGGGAAGTGAGAGAAGCTAAGAGGCCAATGAGTGGTCATGTAGATGTAATTCTAAATGGTCTTATTAAATAAGAAACACAGAGACAAATAAAGAGTTAAAAGCCCAGAGATCAAGCAGTAGCCAAAAGCTAAGACCACCTTATCTTACCACTCACTGCTATCCTTCCCCTGAGAGAGAGACCTGTGTCCTCTCTTTTTATTGCCTTTCTGTTCTGCCTTCTCATTTTTTTCCAAACCCAACCACAAGACTTTCTCATCACTGCCTGTCTATACAGACCTTCAGGTCTCTATGGTTTGTACTGAGATTAAAGGTTCAGGTCGCTGCCATGTGATTGGATTAAGGGCGTGTGCCACCACCGCCGGACTTCTGCTAAGTGGCTTGCTCTTAGCTCTGATCTCCAGGTAACTTTATTAACATACAAATAAGACCACATTTCAGCACAAATAAAATATCACCATATGGTTGTGTTTTTTAATAATCCAAGCAAGGGATGGCAGAAGTTCAGAAGGTATGTGGACTGTAGTTAGGTTTCCTACAATCAAGTTAAAACATTACAAATCTTACGAAATGGTTAGAAATCAGAATGCTGCCAAGATTATTGGGTGATACTAAGACATTATTGGTGGGAGTGGTTAAGAGTAGATACTCCTCTTCCAGAGGGCTAGCACTCAACATCAGGTAGCTCACAACTGCCTATAATTCCAGCTCCAGGGAATCCAATGCCACCTTCTGTCTTCCATGGGCACCTGCATACACATGAACATATGAATTAAAAAAAATGTTTTCAAGTTAAACTGTCACTCACTATATTATATGTTATACCTTCTGTTGCATTGGTCTTAGTCCATTCCTGCTGTCACACTGAGTAATTTGCAAGCATTAGTACTTCATTTCTTATTGTTCTGAAGACTGGGAACAATGTAAGGCTCCGGAAGAGTCAGTAGCTAGTAAGTGCCCATTCCTTATATGGGGCATTTTCTATTCATTCTACACGCTGGAAGGATATTTGCTATGATAAAGTACCATAACAACTTGGGGAAGAAAGGGTTTAATTCATCTTAGACTTCCACATCACAGTTCATTATTGAAGGAAGTCAGGGCAGGAATTCAATGCAGGAACTTGGAGGCAGGAACTGAAGCAGAATCCATTGAAGAAGGCTGCTTACTGGCTTGCTTTTTGTGTATTGTTTTGTATACTTTCTTATATAACTCAAGACTGGATCCTCCCATTGCTTCCAGGCTCATATGGTTTGATCAAGGAAGAGCCGCTGACCCTGACAGGTCTCCAGATGATCCAACATCCAAAATCAGCTTCAAGACAACTGGCTCAGACAACACAGCATCATAGACTACTCTAGTGAGGACTTGACAATAATTTATTTTATAATTTTATTTTATTTATTTTATCTTAATTTTCTCAGGATCCCCATAAGATTACCAGCACCCACAATTAGCAGGAAGTAGTATGAGAAGCTATGCCCAAACTCCCAAAATATTGTTTATAAATGTTTATTTTTTAAAGGGGGTTGATTATAAAACCAATCTCTTTCTAAAGAAGAAAAGGGAACAGTATAGATATGATAGGATGAAAAGATAGGTTATTGAATCTACTTTTAAGGAGCAACAACTTGCTTGAAATGTTTTACAATGCTATGAATTTTAGTTTATTGATACAAATTTATAGTTAATTTTGTTATATTGTATGTATATTTCTACTCTTGTTTAAGGTATTATGTTTGTGCAGCTCATTTGAAATTGTAATGGATAATTAAGAAATACAGATTAATAATTAGTCTTCTATGATAGTCAAACTTATAGTCATGTTAAATTTTCTAGGTATACATAGATATAATTCAATTAGATAGGTAATCTTCAAACACTTCGAAGACCTACAGAATATGGCATTTAAAATGTTTTAAAAACTTAGACTTTTCTGGACAATGAGACACATTTGCTCCTGGCAGCACCAATTACTTCAAGGAAGATGATGGGCACTAAAGACGCTCCATATGGAGTTTATCTTCTTCATGGCAAAAGTTAACCACTGGGTAAAAAAATGCCCTTGCATCAATTGATTAACAGTATGTTGTATAAACTGGACATGCAGGACCCATAGGAAGGTGACCATTGAACTTTGCAAGATGAGATGGTTCTTTAGGTTCCTGCTTTGCAGAGGAGACTGCCAGATATTCTACAGGACACAGAGACGTGACCAAGAGACTCTAGGCCTATAGGCTGAAGATGGATACCCCCACATTGCAGAGGAACTTTGGATGACTGTCTAGGCAGGCAGCTGTGTCTGCCATTCCAGAATTTTTGGAAGTTGCTTACAATGCTCTTCCTGTTCACTTAGATAATACTGTATCCTTCTGAGGTCTTTGATGTAGTTGAAAACTAGATAGTTATAATTATGGTTTTCCTTGGTTATGATAAGAGATAAGCAAGATATGAAACCTTAGACTCACAAATATAGGATAGATAGGATATCTTCTTTAATTTTGCAAAATACAAATAGTCTAGATAATGTAACTGTAATTCTTGCTTGATATGTGTAATTTTACTAGGTTAAAGTTAAAATTTTCCTTTTGTTTAGGAAGAAAATGGGAAGTGATGGGGGAATGTCTTTCTGTATGCTGTGAATATATGGCACTCTGATTGGTCAATAAATAAAGCTGTTTTGGCCTATGGCAGAGCAGGATGGAGCCAAGTGGAAAAAATCCAAGAGAGATAGTGGGAGAAGAAAGGAGAGTGGGGGAGCTGCTGCCAGCTGCTGCCATGAGAAGCAAGATGTAAAGACACCAGTAAGCCATGAGCCACATGGCAAAGTGTAGACTTATAGAAATGGGTTAATTTAAAATGTAAGATCTAGGTAGTGAGAAGCCTCAGCCAGTAGGCCATACAGTTTGTAAGTTTGTAATTAATATAAGCCTCTGTGTGTTCATTTGGGTCTGAGCGGCTGTGGGACTGAGAGGCCACGGGAGCCAGGTGGGACCTGGAAACCTTTCAGCTACACTCCCACATCCATCACTAATAATAATAATAAAAATGTTCCACAGGTTTTCCTACAGGCAATCTAGTAGAAGTATTTTCTCAACAGATGTTCCTTGTTCCCAGAAGACTCAAGCTTGTGTTAAGTTGAAAACAACAACAACAACAACAGCAACAAAGACAACTAAGGTGGGTGAGGGCATGGTAGCAGCAGGTTGTTTTACATCTCATTTACCATGGCCAAAATCAGCTCCAGGAATAAGTCAATGAAGAACTCTCCCAGGGAAGAATGAGTGTTGGCATCTGATGCCTGTGGCAGCGATTGAATTCTTGACAGTGCACAGACTTGATTGACCAGACAGGGCTTGACTAGCAAGGCCTGGCTGGGTCACTTTGGAGATGTTCTACTGGGGAATACTGCCTGATTTATTTTGGGACTCATGTCCAAAGATTCCATAAGCTCTTATAAAAGTGTCAGCAGATAGGGACCAAATATCAAAGTACACAATACTATGGGTAATTTTCATAAGGCAGATAAATTAGGAAAGAGAAAAGAAATGTGTCCCTTTTAGACAGCTCTGCATTGAACTGTATGAACAGGACATATGTGCCAAGGTGGGCTTGGGGCCCTCCAAAGGGGCAAAATGTATTCATACAGTTCAATTTTACCTGCCTTATAATCATTTATGGCATCTGACATCTTACATATGAACCAACTGGATTATTATTATCTTCTCTCCCAATACCACTAGAAAGTGAGCTCTATGAGAAAAAGACTCTTCACCAAAGAATGAATGCTTTGGGGGAAAAAAAAACCATTTTTCCTTCATTCAACTAACATTGAAATGTTACTGTAGATTATGAAAACACAGTGGATAAAAAGAACTCGTTAAATGATCATATAAGTCTAAAATACAAAATTTACAACGTTTTTCAGGACAGGTAAGTTCAAAGGTTTTTGTCATCGATGCTGACACCAGGTTAGAAGCCTTAAAGATACGATGAAGATTTTGAGGACAGAGTACACTCTCTCTTGGCTAGTGTTCACTGCAGTAAGGTATGGAGCTAGCTGTCTATCCATCTAGCTGATTCTTGGAGAATTTGGAGATGCACTGAATCTAACACAAGTGGGAGGGGTCAACACTCATGCACCTCAATTTAGCTTCCACAAGCCAGTCATGAGTGCCCTTGACAGCCTCAGGTACAGCTCAGGACATCTTCCTCCTGTGGGTAGTTATCAGGGACTGCAGCAGAAACAGAGAAAGCAGCCCTAAAGAAGTGTATCGCATTCACAATCTATATTTGACTTGTACTATATTTTCACTGCTGCTGGGGAAAGGTCCAGTGGAAAATGCGTGCTGTTCTAAATATATCCTCTCTATACCTGCTAGATTTAGATTGAAGCCTCAGGGGCACTGCTCAAGAGGTCACCTCCAGTGAAGCGCTTCAGCGGGCTTGTGTATCAGGGTACCCCCTACAGCAGAGCGAAACAGGAAGGGCTGGAGTAGGATGCCACTCCAATGCTATTTCCTTCCTTATCCTAGAGGTCTGAGAATGGCAGGTGTCCCACCTCTTGCCATCTCAGCATACTGTCATAAACCCTAGGACATATCTTCCAGCTCTAGAGTAGTTAAGTCACAGCCTGTTGTTTTTTGTTTTTGTTTTTCTTTTTTCTTTTCTTTTACCTCAGTTTCCTTATTTGTAATTGTTTGGCTGGCACCCTACCTCGCGCATTTCAGTGTTTAGTTCTCTATTGGGTGCATGAGGTGCAGTGGGTGTTATTATAGCTTCCCAAGAAAGGGAGACGTCTAACTGGGAGTATTTCATTCAGCACACTCAACAGAGTTAAGCGCAGGCGTTCATAAATATTTATGAATGAATGTGTGCAAGGGTGAGTGACTGAACCGGTGAATGGCTATGATGCTTTCGAGTCAATTGAGGGGAAATAGAACCTGCTAAGGCTAATTTACCTCCCTAAAGGAATTTATTTCCCTTTCTTCTGTACCTTCTCTTCTGGCTTCCACCATGGTTTAGGGGTGAAGAAGGCAGAGAAAGAGCTGGCTGGACCCTGGGACTCGCCTACGCTGGGCGGGGACGGCTCTGGGAAGTGGGAGGGGAAGGGGCGGGCCGCCAGGACAGCAGGGCGGGGCCACAACTCAGAGGGCGGAGTTAGAGGGGTCCTGGGGGCGGGGCCATATACCAGGGGCAGGGCTAAAGGTGCGAGCCACTGGGCGGGGTTCCAGGGTGTTCCGGCAGGGAGGAGCTGCGCGCCGGACAGCGGAAGAGCCTTAAGAGGGCGGGGTCAAGGAGGTGGCCGTGTGGGTGGGGCCGCAGGCCAGGAGGGCGTGGCTTCCAGGGCGGTCCAGTGGGAGGGATCGCAAGTGCTTTCTGGTAAGGACGCAGGCCTCACGCGGAAGGGCGGGATCTCAAGAGTGCTGGGAGGGCGGGGCTTCATGTGGTCGGGGCGGGGCCTTACCACTGAAGGGCGGGGCCTCGGGTGCGCGCGGGCTGGGCGGGCCCGGCGCGGCACCCGGGCACAATGGCCTTAGCGGCCGGCTGAGCGCGAGCCCCACCCCGTTCGCCGCGCCGCGGGCCGCCCCGCTCACCGAGCCCTCGCCCGCACGGCCCGCCGGCGTCGGGCCATGTACTCGGGGAACCGCAGCGGCGGCCAGGGCTACTGGGAGGACGGGGCGGGCGCCGAGGGCGCAGCGCCGGCGGGCACGCGGAGCCCCGCGCCGCTCTTCAGCCCCACGGCGTACGAGCGCCTGGCACTGCTGCTCGGCGGCCTCGCGCTGCTGGGCGTCGGCGGCAACCTGCTGGTGCTGCTGCTCTACTCCAAGTTCCCGCGGCTGCGCACGCCCACCCACCTCTTCCTGGTCAACCTCAGCCTGGGCGACCTGCTGGTGTCCCTGTTCGGAGTCACCTTCACCTTCGCGTCGTGCCTGCGGAACGGCTGGGTGTGGGACGCTGTGGGCTGCGCGTGGGACGGGTTTAGCGGCAGCCTCTTCGGTGAGTTGCCCGGGACGCGTCCTCCTCGCCTCCCAACTTTCCTTGGGTACATCCCCTCTGGGCTTTCGTCCTCCCCGGGGTCCTCCCTTCTAGCCAGTTATCACCCCTAACTCCTGGTCTCTCTCATCCCCGGGATCCTCCCTTCCAGCCGCTCTTCATCTCCCAACTCCTTGTTTCCCTCCTCCCCCGGGTCCTTCTAACCGGTCGTCATCCCCAGCTCCCAATGCAGCTGCAGCAGTTCAGAAAGTCTCCCTGCCGCTGGCCAGCTTATGTCCTCTCATTTCTGTTCTGATTTTACTTCCTACTGTAGCTCAACAGGGCATTTCACAATGGTCTTTACACAAGGGGGAGAGGAACGAGGGCCTGTAGAGGCAGGAGATGCAAGGAAAAGCCAACTCCCGAAAAGTGGAGAAGGGGGCACGGAGAGATTCAATCATATATATTTAGGATTTGTGTCTCAAAGTGACATGTAGAAGCCTAAATAACGGTGTATCCCCCTCCCCTTTCATTAACTAGCAATTATAAACCGTTGAATGCTTCCTAGGGAGTGAGACTGTATGACATTTTTAATTGTGTTTCCTCTACATAGGTTCTATCACACCAGAGGTTAGAAGTGGCTCAGAACTCCAACTCACTGGTGTGAATAAATCATTAGCTGGGCAGCCAGTACGTTTAATTAAAGTAGAACTTGTTGATTTCCTGAAGATTTATATTGAGAATTGACAGGTTGGAGCCTGACTAACTCAGTATTCTAAGCTTGGGAAAGACTGTGGTGTGTGTGTGTGTGTGTGTGTGTGTGTGTGTGTGTGTGTGTGTGTGTGTGTGTTTGATATGTGTGGGGTGTGTGTGGGATGTGTGTGTGTTGCAGGGGTGTATGTGTGTGTCCTAAGAGTTTTGTTTGTACAGAGATTTAAAATAGAAATGGGTATTTCTTGAGTCTTAAAGTCCCTTTTTTCAAACCTTGAAACACACTGATAATTTAATGCTGTCTTTATCTTGGCAGCTCTTAGAGAAAAACATCTATGTAATATCATGGATATTTTTATTTGCCAACTTATGTGTGACAAATCTAAATTTCATGTTGTCATGATCCCTTTTCTTTAAGTTTTAAAGAAAACAAAATTTTGGAGTTATGGTTTTATTTATTTCACCAATTGATAATTCGGATACTTTCTTAGAAGGGGCTGTAAGAGGATGTGAATGGTAATGTAGGTTGACTATGTAATTACTCTCCGTGTTTACTAAAAGAAAAGGTTGATTGGGAGGGTATTTTAGGCGGATTAATCTTTAAAGAAGGTGGTGTGTGTCAATCAGTCTAGCTTGCAGAATACCTGGGGTAGGCGACAGGTGTTTGTTCACAGACATGAAAGTTCTTTTTTCTGTGAAGTACTTTTCTGCTATGGTGTTCAAGTGGGAGTGGGGAAACAAGAATGGGATGAGGTGTTTTTGTTTTTTTTTTTTTTTTTTTTTAAATGAGGGTTTTCAGCATCTACCCTGTTTCTCCCCTTCTTGCTCGGCCAGCCTCATCTTCCAGTGTCTCTTCTTCTCCCTTTCCCCTGCTGGGAGCCATCACCATCAAAAGAAATACTTTAAGACCCCCAGAAGCATCCCCCCTGGTGTTTTATCTGAGGGTTCTTTTACTTAGAACATTTATTCCCATCCTAACAGCTGAGGTAGATCTTCTGGGGTTAAGAGGATTGGAAATCAGTTAACTCCTGAGACTAGAGTGAGGTTCCTGCAGAGCTCCCCACGCTCTTCACAAAGCTAATTTCTTCTCCTGGAGTATGCTTCTTGAGCAGGGTTAAGGACGGAGAAAGGGAAGACACTTCCCTTTCCATCTCCAAGCCAGGACTAACCAATCCTGAGTACTAAAGGAGAGGAAAATTTTAAATGCTAGAAGTAGCTAGCTGCCTGCTCCAGAGCTTCGGTGAGGCTGCACCACTGGTCTGTAGGCACATGTGGGCCTATGGCTTCTTCATCAGCTGCACTTTCCAAGTCATTCACTCTCCCAGGCTGCCAGTTTTCTCATCTTTGTTATCCACTATTAAGCTGACTGTGTTTAAGGTCATCTATCCCATTTGCTTTGTATTTTTGAGGACTCTTTTGACATCTATAGGTTAGAAAGTATCTATACTTAGTGTTTATAACTGCCCCCTGCCCCCTACTGCCAGCCTCAGCCTTGTTCCCATCTATGCCTAGAGGAAGTGACTACATGCTTACACTTAGATGTCCACATAGGTTTTGTCTCCCTCTTTACCCCCTGCTATAAGAAGGGCGAGTAAGTAATTCCCATATTCTTACATACATGCACAAGTAGACCAGGCCATTGCTTCATTCTGAGCTCTGGTCCTGGCTTCTCAGAGAAGGCTAAAAACAAGTAGAATCCCTGATGATCTTGGTCAGAGGTTTCTACCAGCTGGGCTTGTTAGGATCACTGTTTCAGTTAAACTGACACATCAGGCCAGCGACCTAGTGAAGTTCACGTTAATTGCAGTTGGATGGCTTGTTTTACAGATATCAGAATAATCATTCTCTTAGGTGTACCTGCATCTAGATGTCAGCAGATTTAACGGTAGTGAAAAATAGAGAGGCCAAGGAACACTGACTGCTGCTGTGCTTGATGAACAATAAAAGACTGGCAGTGGGGTGTGTAAGTGGGTTATGTTAGCCTGCAGACTTCCAGGTGAGTATGTCCAAGGGGAGCAGCCTCCAGCCGCACCCAGCATCACAGGGATCTAGCCAGCCTGTGATGGAAGGGTACAGGAGAGTCTCTTTCTATTACTTCTTGAGAAATGAAAAGAACATGTTTAGAAAGAGATTCATGGTTGTAGAGACAGTCTGGCAAAATGGAAATATTTCCTTACTTAGATGTTATGAATAGATGTTATTTATGTTAAAATGTTTTAATACAGGAAACTTCCTTATTTTAACTTACACATGCACTTTGATACAGAAAATGTTACAAAACTATTTCCCGTCAGGCCTGTTCTGTTATGCACCTACATATTTTAAAGGCCAGTTTTTGAATTCTCTTGTAATATCTGGATGTCTCATGTATCTACTGCTGGACCCTTGGGATAGTTAAGGATGTAAAAATCTTCTATGCAGCTGTCTGGGATTACCTACAGACATTCCTGACCGCAGCAATATCCACCATTATGTTGATGTGATCACTCTGCATAGTATGTTTCCATAAATACAATAAAGCCACATATTTCTTTTAGTCTAAGCTCACAGTATTGTCCAAATATTTTTATTAACAATCAAATCATTGTATAATTTTGATTTTTTTAAATTTTTTTGTGGGATATTGTGTCTGTGTTTCATGACAGTAATGCCTGGCTTTGGGGGAGGATATATAAGATATCTTTTGTTCATTTTCAAGAACTCAGAAGACCTGTGGGAACGCATTTAATGACTTGCTTGGGGTAGAGGTTTGTATCCACTTTAACAAGTCAGGCTTCGGTGGATTGAGACTGCTGTTGCATGAAATTGCTTTTATATTATTTACAATTGTGTTCTTTTCTTGAATTTTCTTCTTTCAGAGAAGAGTTCCAGTCACAAATGCATATGTGATGCATGGTAACATTTACCGCTAAGGTGAAATGCAGAAATGAAAAGGACACATCTGTTTGAGTATTCTCAGATATGATTACATGCACTTTATCGTGTTTTCCAGGCTGCTGACTTTTTTTTAATGTTTAAAAATTGTAACAGTTAAACAGCTTAGGACTTGCAAACTCAGTGTTTCTGAATGAAGATCACAAGTAGAGATTTTATTACAGCATAAATACTTCAGAGGAGCCCTCTACCTAGATCCATACGGAGTTCTTTCATCAGCTGTGACCTGAAGCTTCAGCTCCTAGGATGGCAGACAAGCTTCCCACAGAGTTTGATGTGGTTATAATAGGGACAGGTTTGCCTGAGTCCATTCTTGCAGCCGCATGTTCGAGAAGTGGGCAGCGAGTTCTGCATGTTGACTCAAGAAGTTACTATGGAGGGAATTGGGCAAGTTTCAGCTTTACAGGTTTGCTGTCCTGGCTGAAAGACTATCAACAGAACCATGACAGCAAGGAAGACGTGACTGCCTCATGGCAAGACCTGATCCATGAAACGGAAGAAGTCATCGCTCTTTGCAAGAAGGATGAAACTATTCAGCACACAGAAGTCTTCTGCTATGCTAGTCAAGATGTTGGGGATAGCACTCAAGACACCGATGCTCTGCAGAAAAGTCCTTCCCCAGAGGCATCTGCTATCCAGGCCGACTCTATGGATTCTGCAGGCTTGCCTAAGGAAAGGCACTCAGCATACTGTTCAAGCTATGAAGAGAAAAGTGATAGAGAGCCTTCACCATCCCCAGCTGATATAGAGAACTCACTGGAGAAAGAGAAGTACTGTGGAGATGAAATTGATGTCCATACAGTTTTGGATGGAGATAAAGATGAAGACAAACTTGATCTGGAAGACAACCCTGAGCAACCAAAGAGAAACAGGATTACTTACCCTCACATGATTAAGGAGAGCCGGAGATTTAATATTGACTTGGTATCAAAGCTGCTGTATTCTCAAGGATCATTGATTGACCTTCTGATCAAATCAAATGTTAGTCGTTATGCAGAATTTAAGAATGTCACTAGGATCCTTGCATTCCGGGAAGGGAAGGTAGAACAGGTGCCTTGCTCCAGAGCAGATGTCTTTAATAGTAAAGAGCTCACTATGGTTGAAAAGAGAAAGCTAATGAAATTCCTCACATTCTGTTTAGACTATGAGCAACATTCTGACGAATACCAAGATTTCCAACAATGTTCATTTTCTGAATACCTAAAAACTAAAAAATTAACACCCAACCTCCAACATTTCATACTACACTCAATTGCAATGACATCAGAGTCATCCTGCACTACATTAGATGGCCTTAAAGCAACAAAAAACTTCCTTCAGTGTCTTGGACGGTTTGGCAACACTCCCTTTATATTTCCTTTATATGGCCAAGGAGAAATTCCTCAGTGTTTCTGCAGGATGTGTGCAGTTTTTGGTGGAATCTATTGTCTTCGCCATCAAGTACAATGCCTCATAGTTGATAAAGACTCTGGGAGATGTAAAGGAATCATAGACCACTTTGGTCAGAGAATAAGTGCCAGCTATTTTATTGTGGAGGACAGTTACCTTTCTAAGGACACATGTTCAGATGTGCAGTATAAGCAGATCTCGAGAGCTGTGCTCATCACAGATGAGTCCATCCTGAAGACGGACTCAGACCAGCAGATTTCCGTCCTGATAGTGCCTCCATTAGAGCCAGGAACAGGTTCCATTCGGGTCATGGAGCTATGCTCATCAACCATGACGTGCATGAAAGGCAGCTATCTGGTCCACTTGACCTGTTTCTCTTCAAAAACAGCCAGAGAAGACTTGGAACCAGTGGTGAAGCAGTTATTCATTCCTTTTGCAGAAGCAGAAGCAGAAGCAGACAAGGAAGAACTCAGAAAACCAAGACTCTTGTGGGCTCTCTATTTTAATATGAGAGATTCCTCAGGAGTTAGCCGAAGCTCATACTGTGGCTTACCTTCCAATGTGTATATCTGCTCTGGGCCGGACTGTGGACTGGGGAATGAGCATGCTGTCAAGCAAGCGGAAACACTGTTCCAGGAGATCTTTCCCAGCGAAGAGTTCTGCCCTCCTCCCCCAAATCCGGAAGACATTATCTTTGAAGGTGAGGGTTAGCAACGAGACACTCCTGGAGGCAGTAATACACTTACCACCAAGCTAGACACCCCAAGGACAACAAGAACTTGTAGAGCCCAGAACACCTTCGAAATGAAAACAGACTGGAAGTATTTTCATCCTTGCTTCAAAATATTGTCATTTAAAAGACAGCTGCCATTTGTGATAAGCGCTGTTTACTTGACTTCAACCCTGAGACACTGGGTATCGAATAGCTCTGCTAATCTGTCAGCATCTGATTTGTTGGTGACTCAGCTGCTTTGTTTCAGAATTGGCTCCAGGAATCCAGAATCTTTGAATGTCATTAGCTTTTTTTTACTTTTGGGTCCCACATTAGCAACCTTGCTTACCTTAAGGTAATATCACACTTGCTCCTGTGTTCAGATTGTATCATTGTCTACACAAAATTAATATCCAAGAACTATTTTAGTTCCTGCTGCAGCTACTACTGTTGCTACCACCTCAGTTGCACAGAGGACCACATAAATCAGAAACTGTTTGAGATTTTTATATAGTACATAAACACATAGAGCTGGTAGTAGGAGTAGCAGCTAATACAAGTGCTAATGTGATAAAACACAACTGTCTGTTAGAAACTATGTCATGCATGATCCTGTGTCTTGGGGTTGATATTTACATGTGATTTCACCTATTTGACCTTCGTAACTAAGGAGGCAGTGAGACTACCCTAGCCTGCTCCTTCACAAAAAGAGTGCTCCTTAGTAGTTGAAGAAGCTCATATATTAGAGATACATTGCAATCTGGGCATGGTGGCTTACTCATTCGATCCTATCATTGAGGAGATTGAGACAGGAGGATTGCTGTAAAGTCCAGGCCAGTCTGGACTATAGTGTTGAGACTCATTTCAAAACAGAATAACCTCCCCACGCCCACCAAAAAAAGAAGTATATTATAAAGAAAATTAAAAAGACAAAATTTATTCAGAAAATTTCTATAGAGCTGACACTGACATTTAAAAGAACTAACAATTAACTCAGGCTAACATAAATTAATAAATTACCCTAGAAAAAGGTACTTCAGGATAGGTGTTTAGAAATTTCCAGAAAGAATTTCCCAAGGGGGGATAGTGGTGCATCTTAATGTGGGATTCTAGATGCCTTTAAAGTTACAGACTTCCCTGTCCAGGGTTCTCGGGGTGAAGCATGCCACCTGGTTGGCTATACTACTTTAGTAAGCATTGGTAACTGACAGAGTGTGTCTCTTCTACTACATGTCTGTTAGCTGGGGAGTGGGAAGCTTTCCCTCCAGAACCGCCTGCTGCACCCCAGCAGTGAAAGCCCTCTACTGTGAGAAGAGGCACAATGTGTTAGGAGACTAAAGGGTGCTCTGAATATCCTCCTCCTGCTCTTTAGTGAGGAAAGTGAGATAAGACATGTAAATCAGTGACTGAGCTGAGAGTAGAAAGCTATCCATTGGTCTTGTTTTACTGTTTTTAATATGATAAACCCATATTTATTGGGTAGATCTTAAGGGTTAAATGCAGCAGAACAACTGAAATTCCTGAAATGACCGAAAAGTAGCAATTAAGAGAAAAACAATTCTAAGACAGATAAAATGGAAGGGAGTATTGCAGACCCATCTCATCAAGTTTGTCAGAACCATAGTCTATTCAAAAGACGTTAAAAAGAGACACAGTTGTGAAAGCTAAACAGAAGTTCCAAAGACAGCTGAATGTAATGGAAATCAGGACTAGACTAGGCCAAAGCAGGGGTTTCGTTGCTTTTTTCTAAAGTAAGGAAGTGAATGTATTACTTTAAATCAGCATAAAACAGTAAGTGGAAGTGCGGCAAGCAAGCAAAACGTGTTTCAAAAACATAAGGGATGTTATCTCATTTCTTTTTTTTTTTTTTTTTTTTTTTTTTTTTTTTTTTTTTCTGATTTTCAGGCAATCTTTATTTGTTACATCACAGACAAAATATTACCCCATTTACCCCCTGTGCCATATTCTCAGCTGCTGCTGCTGTTCATCCTTCTTCACTAACTTGGTAATGAAGATTGAGAAGTTAAAATTAATGAGTAGCAGGTTTTGAAGCTACCGATGTGCCTTGTAGCTGCTTGACATCTGCCATGGTCAATTCCACTGTATTCTTTGACATTGCCATTGATTGGCAGGACCTTGAGCCCATCTCTTTCAAGCTGTTTACAGATAAAGTTCAAAAGACAGCAGAAAACTTTTGCACTCTGATCACTGAAGTGATTTGGTTATAAGGGCTCCTGCTTTCACAGAGTTGTACCAGGACTCAAGTGCACAAGTGATGACCTCATGTACCATCATGGCACTGGTGACAAGTCCATCTGTGGAGTAAAACCTCCTGAGGATGGTAAGAACCTCAACTTGAAGCCTGCAGGTCCTGGCATCATGTCCGTGGTGAATGCTGCACTGAACACAAGTGCTTTTTTGTCTGTCATGTGTACTGTCCAGACTGACTGGATGGCAAGCATACAGTTTTTGATCATATGAATGATGAGAATTTTTTTTTTTTTTTTTTTTTTTTGAATTAACAAAAAATTTTTTATTGCCTCCAAAATGGACCAACCAAAATTCTTGAAGTTAAAGACCTTCCTTAGGACATAGTTCATGAAAGAATTTTTTTTTTTTTTTTTTGTTGTTTTTTGTTTTTTGTTTTTTGTTTTTTTTTTTTTCCCCTTTTCTATTTTAATAAAAAGGAAAAAAAAGAAAAAGGTTATAACTAACAAAAGAAAAACTATATACAAAAGTACAATGACTATATACAATATATACAAGTAATAAATGTCTAAACAATGTCTAGTCCATTTGTATTTGACAAATTCAGAGAAAATAATTTCATTATCTATCCTATTTTGTTAAGTCCAAAATGTATCTAATTTCTAACAAGTTAGAGCGGGCTTCTTGGGGGTTTTCAGGGGTTTAAGAAGTAAAATCATAAATGCTGCCTTTCACTAATTACATTTTGACTCAATTAGGGCTCCATACTAAAAGTCAGACAAAATTTCTCATTCTGGGTAGATGAAAGCTGTAGAGTAAAATGTTGACCAAAGAGGTAACAGCCAACAGAAACAATTACTTACAGTGACTCAGGATGAGAAGGCTTGTGTCCAATAGAGTAGCCATACATCAACATGAACAGAACAAGTGATAAGAACCCATAATATTAACTGCATTAACTGAACACTTGCGTTTGGTTTAATTATATTTACTGACGATTTCGTGGGCTTTTCATAACACAATAAGCAACTACTTAAAAGCTTAACTTGAATTTGTATTGGTTTTTTTTTTTTTGGTTTTTTTTTTTTTTTTTTTTTTGGTTTTTTCGAGACAGGGTTTCTCTGTGTAGCTTTGCGCCTTTCCTGGAACTCACTTGGTAGTCCAGGCTGGCCTTGAACTCACAGAGATCCGCCTGGCTCTGCCTCCCGAGTGCTGGGATTAAAGGCGTGCGCCACCACCGCCCGGCTTGAATTTATATTGGGAAAGCATGTATGAACCATTTCTTAAACAGAAATGAACAGCTTTGGTACTAATTTGTCTGTATATGGCTGAAAAGTTGTCACTGGAATAAAAATACAAAGTAAAGATGTAGAAAGAAACCAGTGCAAATATATTCTATTTGCTTTATAACTCACTAAACCTGTATTACCATATAAATATACTATGAACAGAAGATAATTTCACAAGTTGCAAGATACATAGTTTTTTGAAATCTCATTTCTAGATTCTAATAGTGATGGAATTTTTAAAAGTATTGATATTAATATATATGAGCATCTTTATAAAATGTTTGTAAGCTATAGTAGAGTAATTTAAGAAAGATTCTTAAATAGAAGGTTTAATGAAGGAGCTAAATTTAAAATACGATATGCTATCATGAGAGATGTCTTGAAGGCAATGCTATAAACATAGGGAGACCTCACATTTATTTCTAGTTGTCTGATCTCAAGGCAGTCACTTTTAACTTCCATTTACCATCTATGAAATAGAAATAATAAGTATTATTCTTCACAGAATTACTGTGAAGACTGAGTTGGGTAATATTAAGAACCCATATCCAAAGTAATGCTAGCATGTGACATTTGTATGTAACTGATATTTATTACAATATCATTTGTGATGTCAACCTTATACTTCCTGTAATTTAAGAAAATTGTGATAAATGACACAGGAAAGTAAGCAAGGAAAGACAGCTTCAATTTTAGAGGGGAAAAATATGGGGCTTTGTCCTTCAAGTCCCTAAGGCATGATATACAACCCATCTAAATGTTCTGTAGTGCTGAGTTCAGGGAAGTTCAGACTGATCAGCTATCTGGAAAGAAGTATTTGGAAGCCGCTCTTAGGTCAGTATGGAGAAAGGTTTCTATGGCCACTTTCCATCCAATAATGCAGTTTATTTGTTAATTAAAATGTTAAGCATAAAAGTAATAAGTATAGTTTTTACCTCATTAACGATGCCAAGGAATGTTCTGGCAGGTGAACAGTGACAAGGTAGATCAACTAAAATTAAAATGCAAAAATAGATACAAAACAAGGAGAGAAGGTGGAATAAAAAAGCTGTTTCTATTGCAGGGGTCTTTTTAAAAAATTTATTATTGTATTTTATTTTTTGGTTTTTCGAGACAGAGTTTCTGTATGTAGCCCTGGCTGTCTTGGAACTTGCTTTGTAGACCAGGCTGGCCTCGAATTCCCGAGTGCTGGGATTAAAGTGCATGTACCACCACTGCTGGACTTGTTTATGTATTTATTTATTTATTTTAGTGGGTGCAAATTCTTTAGACTTTCTACTCTTCTTGTGCAGAGTATAAAGTGATAGGTTGCAAATGGGGAAAAAGAAATAAAAATAAATTCCTTGATCCTCAAATTAATGTGCATTAAAATAGAAATTAAAGCAACTTTGAGTTAATCCATTAAGTGGATTTTCAATGCATAAGTCTTCATACAGCAGCAACATGTATTCATGGTCATTTTGAAGAACTAGTTAAGAGATTAACCAGACCTCTATAACTGATGTTATCGCTTTGAGTGGTACATGCCCAGGAAAATACTCAGAATGGACAAATCAATAAAGCAACTTCTAAAAAGATGTTTTAGCAATTCCGTTTATACTTTTATTAAAAACCTGCTGACTAAGAAATGGATACATTTTGGTGTGTTGCTAGTGCTATAGTAATCTTACAGAGAGTTAAATGGCATATGTAAGATTGTATGTAAACAGTTTGAGAGTCAAAAAGATGTTTACAACAAATTGTTGCGTGCTGGTTACATTTGTATAAAAATTTAGATTTCTACACTGGAAAGAATCAGAAGGCATGTAATTGCAGGTTAATACTTAATCTCTGTTTCTGTAAAATATTGATGTGTATAATAAAAATAAAAGATTAATTGGTGAAATGGTTTACTTGATTGATAAAAAAATACTGATTCTTGAAAACATATAAATTCTCCTTTAAATTAAAAAAAAAATACATTTCTAACTGTTAAAGTAAAAGCTAATCTCCAAAAATGTGTGGCTGAAAGTTTTTGCAGGACTTTGTAAGAAGAAACTTTTGATGAAGATGGACTTTTATCTTCTGTATCTTTTCTCAGTTGTCTGACTTTAGGAACTAATTATGGAAACAGTAGATGCATTCCAGTTCATCAGTGTGAAGATCTTCCATGGCCCAGCGTGATGGCGCATGCCTGTAATCCCAAACCTTGGCATGCTGAGGTAGGAGAATTGCTGTAAGTTTGAGGCCAGCCTAGACTACATAACAAACCATCCAGGGCTATGTAGACATCCTATCTCATGAGACAGAGAGAATGAGAATTACGTAGTAATCCAAATCTAAAGTCATCCATTACTGTGGAGATTAAGTCTGAGAGCTGTGGAGATGAGGTCAGTTCACAGGTGTCCACTGAGCAGTTGTGAGGAGTCCTTTGCCGAGGATACACTTAGGAACTGAGGACACAGGCTAATACTTTCTACAGTCAGCTTGAATAATCCGAATGTAACCCGACAAGCATCAGCTAAACTCCTAATGTAAATGAGTTGACATCAGTCAGTTTAGGGGTCAGAAATAATGAAAGCAAACAGGACACGTTCTCTACCTGAGAAGCCTGCTGGAATTGCTTGCCCTAAGGTAAGGTGTCCTTCCCACTAACAAGCATTACAACATTTTATACCCACCATCCTTGCCCTTGATCTGAAAACTAAAAGCTTGTGATGTATGACATTTTTCCCCAATTTTATTTGTAAACTTTTCGTTTTAGAGTGACGATTTGTAAGAACATTCAAACTTTTGTTTTTTTTATGGTATTTCTTTAAGAGGGTGCCAGCACTTTGGGTTGCAGAGTTGGAAACAAACTGCTTAAAGACTAGAAGCTGGGTCAGTCGACAGTCGCTGAAATCCGTCCTGTCTAACATTTTCAGCTCTGTGTCCTGCGTAGGGAAGAGGAAGTACAAGACACTGAGCCCAAAGCCCAAGGTCCCGAGCGTTGAGGGAGGTGCAAGCGAGAACAGCCCAATGACAGAAGCGGAGTGTGAAGCGTTCAAAGTACCAGAGACAGTGCCCTGTTCAGGACCAGTTCTCTTGGCCTTTGTGGTGGCTGTAGTTGAGTCCTGTTCCACTGGCTTTTATGTCAGTACTTTGCCTTAATTCACATTTCTGTACTTATCTGGGGTGGAGGCTGCTACAGGACACTTGGTGGAGGTCAGAGGCCAACTTGTCTCTCCCTCAAAGTTTCCAGGAATTGAAATGAGGTCCCTGGGCTTGTTGGCCAGGCTTCTTATCCACTGAGCCATCTCAGCAGTCTTTTTAACCTTTTATTTTTATTTTTATTTTTATTTTTATTTTTATTTTTTTTTTGGTTTTTCAAGACAGGG